CCTCAGAGCGGCCCTGGTGATGCCCATGGCTCCCCGGTTCCTGCAGGGGACCGTAGGGGCCCAGTCTGGCCGCTCCCTGGTGCTGATCCCTGAGCACAAACGCCCTGTGAGCTGGGGTATGGCCAGGCTGGCCCCCAGCCCGGGCCCCCCAGGTTCTGGCCCCGACATGCCCACTTCCGCTGCATCTTCCCAGGAAATCAGTGCCCTGCGGAGCCAGGTGGTTGGCCAGGTCAGTGTGGAGGTGGATTCCGCCCCGGGCACCGACCTCACCAAAATCCTGAGCGAAATGAGGAGCCAGTATGAGGTCATGGCTGAGAAGAACCGGAAGGATGCGGAGGCCTGGTTCATCAGCCAGGTAGGAGGACAAGCAGGCAGCCTGGGGAGTGGCAGGGAGGGAGCTTGGCGCCTCTGCCCGAAGCCCCGACTGCTCATCCTTTCCTCTGCTCCTTCGTTCCAGACCGAGGTGCTGAACAAGGAGGTGGCCACCAACACAGAGATGATCCAGAGCAGCAAGACAGAGATCACGGAGCTGAGGCGCACGATGCAGGGCCTGGAGATCGAGCTGCAGACGCACCTGAGCATGGTAAGTCGGGCAGCCTGGCTGGTGGCCTGGTCAAGCCCTCTCTGGGCACCCAGCTCTGCTGCGCCACAGCGCCCTCTCTCCCTCCCTCGCCGCAGAAAGCCACCCTGGAAGGGACCCTGGCTGAGACTGAGGAGCGATACAGGGTCCAGCTGGCGCAGATCCAGGCACTGATCGGCAGCCTCGAGGCCCAGCTGAGCAACCTGCGCGCGGACACTGAGCGCCAGAACCTGGAGTACCAGCAGCTCATGGGCCTCAAGTCACGGCTGGAGCAGGAGATTGCCACCTACCGCAGCCTGCTGGAGGGCCAGGACGCGCACTACAACAGCCTGCCTGGCCCCAAGGGCCTCTGAGCCCTGCTGGGTGCTGGGCCCCTGCCCTCCTGTTGAAGGGTCGCCCTGGCTCCCTTGACCCTGCCCCGCGCTACCTGCCAATAAAACTTGATGGCCCAAGGAGGAAGGACTGGCATTATTATTATTGCAGCCCTCTGAGAGATGGGTCAGGCGTTGGCCCCATGGAGGTTTGATTTGAACCAAATTCCACCCTGTCTCTGCCTGGGAAAAGGAAGAGAGGAGCCCCCTACCTTTCCCTGTCGTGACAATTCCTGTTGGCACAATGAGTCTTCATTTATTTAACCCATGAAGTTAGGATTTATTGCTTCCATTTTACAGATAGACAAACTGAGGCTTAGGGAGGCGAAGTGGTTTGTGGTGCGTAACTGCTCTAATACACAGCAAAGGTGGGGTTTGAAATGGATCCAGGCTCAGTTTCCTTTGTACATCCATGTGTGTGCGCGAGAAATGGTGCACACTTATATGCCATTTAATCAAAACCCTAAAAGGTGCTTTGAGCTGTATTCTCTACATTAGGGAATAGGCTCAGAAAGATCAAGTAACTTGTCCAAGGTGGGTAGTAACTCTGGCACAGGCAACACAAGAAGCCGAGTCTCCTGATTCTCTGCTCACAGTGCCGCCCTGCCCAGGTGGTCCCTAAGGTGTCCATGGTCTGTGCCAGTCTGGCTTGGCACTGGGGTGCCCGGGGCGTCCCTCCTGGCATGGCTCTACACTCACCAGGGGGATTGGGTCTGGAGAGGGTATCCCTGTGCTTGAGCTAACACAAAAGCTCCCCACACCCACCAGCCCATGCCTGGGTCTGGAGCCAGGACAGGGACCCAGCTGTGACCCAGGCCTCCCACGCAGACCTGCAGCCTGGCCTGGCTCGCCTGGGCCGCCCCGTGCCAGCAGAAGAATCAAGTCCCAGCTTCCTGGTACAGCAGGGCCCTTGGGGTAAATAAGAGGCCTATGCAGGAGGGCGTCCCCCAGGCTGCCGAACTCCCCATGACCTGGGGTGAGGTGGGGGTGGGGTGCACACCTGGACTCCCAGCATTCTGGGAGGCTGAGGCAGGAGGATGGCAAGTTTGAACCCAGCCTGCATAATTTAGGGAGACCTTGTAGATGGAGTGAAGACCCTGGGTTCAATCCCCAGTATGGCAAAAATAAATAAAAGGCATTTCCCTGTGACAGCTCTGGGGCACCAGTGCCTGGTTCCTGTCACCTTGTGCTGGCCTGAAGGGGGCACTATTTCCTCCATTGCCCTGTGGGTCCCCTTGAGGAGCCTTAGCTGGCTCCAAATTTCAGGCTGGTCACAGGTGAGACCCGAGAGCCCAGCCCTTCCCTGGCCCCTTCGGCTGTTTCCCTCTTCAGGAAGCCGTGGGGGCCAGGCCGGGACTGTCCAGGGTGCCTGGTCCCTGGCATGAAAGGCTCCCTTGTCGCCTCTGAAACCTCCCCTCTGCCCCAGGGCCCTGGAATGTGCCGCGGGCCGGTAGGCGGGGTCTGGGTCCCGCACAGGTGGGGCAGGTGTGGGAATGAAGCCAGGCTTTGTTCGGCTCAGCCTGGGAGCTGAGTCTGAGCTCTGGGACAGCAGAGCCGGGAGCTGGGGCAGGGTCTTTCGGTCTCTGGTCCTCACGGCTCTTCCAGTGCATAGGGCAGTTCCTGCCTGCCATCTGGCTCTGTCCTGGGGAGTCAGTTGGGCCAGGGTTATTTCCATTTTTGCTGGTTGGTAAACTGAGGCTCCAGAGGGGAGCCGTCATTCGTGCACACGGGTGTGTGGGAAAGGAGGGACTGAGGGCAGTTGCGAGGCCCCGGGCCATGCCCTCCGTCCCCAGCTCATGGGCTGACGGTGGCCTGGGGCTGGGGTCAGTGTGCAGGGCCTTGCTGTCATGCAGGACCAGGCCGAGAGGCTGCCCAGGCCCCGGTAAGGAGGGAGGCCCAGACGGGGCACCTGTCTGCCTGTGAGGCAGAGTCCTGGCGCCAGTGAGGAGGCCCTGGCCCTCCCTGGCCTGGAGCTTCCCTGCAGCAGAACTGAAATCCAGGGCTTGGGACTGGGCTCCACAGGCAGCTGCTGTCCTTGGCCTGTGCTTGGAAGTGGAGGGAAAGCTCCAGAGTCCGGTGCAGAGGTGGAGGGCGTCTCAGCCTCCTCTCAGTGATGGTGACAAGGAGGACAAGTCGCCCCTGTGTTAGTTGCTGGGGCCTCGGTGTCTGCAGAGCCCTAATGAGCGCTGGCTGATTGGGTTTGATTATTTTTCTTTCCCTCTCACCCGCCAGACAATACCGCACTGCCTGGGCCCGGCCCTCACCTGTGGCCGCTTCCCTGCACCCTTACGGAGGCCCAGAGGAGATTCGGGAGCTCAGGTGGGGGGCGAGACCTGTCTCCTGTCCCTTCCTAGCTGTGCCATCCCCCGCTCTGAGTCCTGATTTTGCTCCTTGTGCGATGTGGGCAGGGGTCGTCCTCTGCGTTGCAGGATTAGAGGGGAAAGGGGCTGCTCCACGTGGTGGATAACAATGAAAACAGGCGTTCGTAATGGCTCATGCCTGTTACCTCAGCACTTGGGAAGCTGAGGCAGGAGGATCGCTGCGAGTTCGAGGCTACAGAGTGAGTTCAAAACAAGAACGCCCGAGGGCTGGGGATGCAGCTCAGTGGTGCCTGTGCCTGTCTCTCGAGCACAAGGTCCTGAGTTTGATCCCCAGTACCAAAAAAAAAGAATGCCCAGCCGGGAATTTAGCTCAGTGGTTTCGCCTACTGCTGTGCAAGCACAAGGACCCAAGTTTGATCCCTGGTACCCCACCCACCCCGCCAAAGAATGCCTGTATTGCTCAGTGGTAGTCAGCTATGGACCAGGGATGCAGCCGAGCCTAAGGACACAGAAGGCTCACAGGGTGCGTTCTGATGTCCCAGGACACAGCCCCTCCTGGCAGGGTCCTCCAAATCCCAGGAGCTGTACTAGCCTCCCACTATCGCCCCCTCAGTCAACGGGGAGCCAGGAGGTGGCAGAGCAGGACGGGCCCCTGGGCCTTAGGTCTTGCCAGGAAGTGAGAGCTGACTGCCCCATCCTACGAAGAAGCTGAGCCTTAAAATACCACAGGTTCAGCTGGGGACATGAGGCGCAGGCCGGTCATTCCAGCACTTTGGGAGGCCAAGGCCGGAAGATTGCAAGTCTGATCCAGCCTGGGAAACTTGGTGATTTAGTGAGCTCCTATCTCAGTGTGAAGAACCTGGGTTCAGTCCCCTGCTCTGTCATCAGCAGAGGCAAGGCTTGAACCAGCCTGGGGGACTCCTTCGTTACCCAGCCCCGGGCCAGGAACAGTCTCCATCCAAAGATGCAATGCCTTGGCCTCCGGGATCCGCGTGCCCTCCGCCTGGCCGTGGCCCTCCCTGCCGCCTCCCTCCACAGCCTGCTGCACGGGCTTAATCCAGCCCTGCTGAGCTGCGACATGCCCCGCGTGCCTCTCCGGGAAGGCAGGGGCTTCCTGGGACCCGCCAGCCTTACCTGCCGAGGTCTGCCCGGACGTGCCCAGCAGGCGTGGGCAGCGGTTCAGGGACGTGGGCAGCTGGCAGATGGGGGCCCATCCATCAGCCCCCTATCAGCCGAGCCCCAAGGTGTTTACCAGCCAGCCAGGGCTGCAGGGCTGGAGCTGGGGAGCAGGAGCGGACGGCGGGAGGAGAATGCTGGCAGCAGTGGGGAAGCTGCCTGCCCCGGGGGTCCCGCGGGCCCTAGGGCGGAAGAACTCAGGCAGGGACGGGGCCTGAGTTCGGGCAGCTGTGCCCCCCGGGGAGGCGCACGGGCGGGGCAGCCAGGGCGGCCTCTCTGCTGTAACGGACGGACGGGACTGGGCAGGGATGGGCGGAGGCTTGGGGACCGTGCAGCGCCTAGCAAGGGGCCCTTTCTCACCAGGTTCGGAGAGCCAGGGACCTGCAATCCAAGTGTTAAATCTATGGCCCAGGGCAAAGTGCCATTAACTCTGAATCATTTCTTTTGTTGCATTAAAAAAAGAAGAAGAAAAGAAAAACTGCAGGGAGCCACGTGGAGGTGTGTAGGCAGCTGTGCTCTGGGGCAGGGCTGGCTGAGATCCAGGGGAGGAGACGCCCACAGCCCCTCGGAGGGGTACTTAAGGAGCCCCAGGCCGGGGCGAGGCTGCTGCGCTCGGTTCGCCCAGTGCACCTCCTGCTTGTGTCTCTCTCGTGCTTGAGGAAGACCCACTGCTCTGCTGCCTGGCCATGGCCACCACATTTCTGCAGACTTCTTCCTGCACCTTCGGGGGCGGCTCTGCCCGAGGGGGCTCCCTCCGGGCCGGGGGAGGCGGCTTTGGTGGGGGGAGCCTGTATGGCGGAGGTGGAAGCCGCAGTATTTCGGCTTCTTCTGCTAGGTTCATGTCGGGGTCCGGAGAAGGCTACAGGGGCAGCATGAGCTGCGGCTTTGGTGGTGGGGCGGGTGGCGGTTTTAGCGGAGGCCTCGGAGGCGGCTTCGGAGGTGGCTTGGGTGGGGTTTTTTTTGGCGGGGGCGATGGCGGCCTCCTCTCTGGGAACGAGAAGGTGACCATGCAGAACCTCAACAACCGCCTGGCCTCCTACCTGGACAAGGTGCATGCGCTGGAGGAGGCCAACGCCGACCTGGAGGTGAAGATCCGCGACTGGTACCAGAGGCAGAGCCCGGCCAGCCCGGAGCGGGACTACAGCCGCTACTTCAAGGAAATCGAAGGGCTCCGGGACCAGGTGAGCCTCGATGACAGGGCTCGGGGTGCAGGTGGCTCCAGGGCAGGGAGACGGCTGGCCGGGACTCCTTCCTGCGCAGGCGATGGCTCCTGCCCTGCGACCGCTGCACTCGGGATGCACAGCTGCTCTGCTCAGCGGTGTAGGGAGGGAGGGGCTTGGGGTCCTGTCAGGGCTGAGAAGGCACGGGTGGGGGATCCTACAGCGCCCCGGCAGGAGGACCGGGCTTCATGCTCCCTGCATGCCAGCACCTCGAGCCTCGCCCTTTAGCCCTTTAAAGATGTCCCCTGTGCCCAAAGCACTGCCAGGATGCAGGGGACACCTGGGGACCCCTGACACTGCACCTCCCTTGCCTTTCCTGGAACTCATGGCACCAGCTCGCCGAGGCTGGAGGGGGTCCCGAGGGCACCCTTGTCAGCGCTCCCGCTCCCCACCCCAGTGCACACCAGCCCCCCGGGGACTCCCACCGCTGCTGCCCTGGGCACGCCGAGGGTGGCCGGGGCCAGGCTGCATCCTGGGCGCCGGGGGTGAGGCTGGGGTCTCCAGGCTTCTGTGGGCGGCGTGGTCCTTGGGCACAGCCCCTGCCTTCCACAGATCCTGGCCGGTGACATGGACAACTCCCAGGTCATCCTGGAGATCGACAACGCCAGGCTGGCCGCTGACGACTTCAGACTCAAGTGAGCTCCGAGGCGCCCACTGCCCCGCCGGGGTCACCCCTCCACTCAGCTTCCCCGCCCCTGTTCAGCCGCCCGCCTTGCCCCTGCTGAGCTTGGCCTCCTTCTCTCCCCAGGTATGAGAATGAGCTGTCCCTGCGCCAGACGGTGGAGGCCGACATCAACGGGCTGCGCAGGGTGCTGGACGAGCTGACCCTGGCCAAGACCGACCTGGAGATGCAGATCGAGGGCCTGAACGAGGAGCTGGCCTACCTGAAGAGGAACCACGAGGAGGTGGGCAGCACGGGGCTGCGGGTGTAGGGGAAGAGCGGGCCGAGCCACTGCCCCATAGTTGGGGCACCAAGGCAGGGCCAGCTGTGAGCTTTGCTGCCTGAGTGGACACCAGCTGTGTCAGGGGCAGGAGAGCCCGCACACTGGAGGGACCTGGGTGAGCAAACCTTCTCCTGCACCATGAGGGGCAGAGGTCAGGGTGGGCATGGTGTGCCGAGATCACACCGCGAGTTTTGACAGAGCCACGACCGGGTCCTTTCTACCGAATCTTCCCGCCCTGCAGGAGATGAAGGAGTTCAGTAGCCAGCTGGCCGGCCAGGTCAACGTGGAGATGGACGCGGCCCCGGGCGTGGACCTGACCCGCATGCTGGCCGAGATGAGGGAGCAGTACGAGGCCATAGCGGAGAAGAACCGCAGGGACGCCGAGGCCTGGTTCTTCAGCAAGGTGGGCTGCTCCCTGCCCTGCCCACGGCACCCCCCGGGGTCCCCGCTAGGGCCTCTGAGGACTCCACTGGGGCTCACGCCACACGTGTGTCCCACAGACCGAGGAGCTGAACAAGGAGGTGGCCTCCAACACGGAGATGATCCAGAGCAGCAAGACGGAGATCACGGAGCTGCGGCGCACGCTGCAGGGGCTGGAGATTGAGCTGCAGTCGCAGCTGAGCATGGTACCCGCCGCCTCCCACCAGCTCCTACCCCGTGCCCTCTGCAGCTTGCTGTCCAGCCTGATGTGTCTGCCTGTGACTCTGTTCCCACCAGAAAGCCGGGCTGGAGAGCTCGCTGGCGGAGACCGAGTGCCGCTACGCCACGCAGCTGCAGCAGATCCAGGGGCTCATTGGGGGCCTGGAGGAGCAGCTGGCCCAGCTACGCTGTGAGATGGAGGCGCAGAACCAGGAGTACAAGATGCTGCTGGACATCAAGACGCGGCTGGAGCAGGAGATTGCCACCTACCGCCGCCTGCTGGAGGGCCAGGACGCCAAGTAGGGCACAGGCACTGCCTGGGGCTAGGGTGTAGGGCCGCCAAATGGGGATGCTCAGCCAGCAGAGCGGGAACTGAGCTAGGAGTGAGGGGTCCGGACTGGCTGTCCCCTGGGGCGGTCATCACCCTCCCACTTGTGCTTTTGCCACGGGGCACCTGGGGGCGTGGTCTCCAGGGTTTAGAGCTCCGACAGGGAGCTCCTTACCATCCTTCTGTCTGCGGGTGCTGGAGGGGATCGTATGGGCACCCACCTGCTCCCTTAGGGGGATGGTGCTGTGGGCCTCTGCTTACATCGGCTCCCCTCTTTCAGGATGGCTGGCATTGGCACCCGGGAAGGTAGGAAGGCTTCCCTCTTCCCAGGAGGGCGGGTTGGGGAGTGGAGCTGTGGGATTCGGAAGAAGGGAAAGAGACCAGGCCTCTCTGGGGGCAGGGAGCCCCTTCCCGGGGTGCACCCTTCCAGGGGGAGCCTGTCACGGCTCGACAGCATTGCAGGGTGAGCAGGCTTTGTCCAGGGCTGGGCTCTCCTCAGGCACCTTCGTGCCCGAGGGTGAGAAGCCCACAATTGCTCAGGCTCATGTGCAGCTCCAAAGCTGGCCCCTGGTTCACACGGGCGATGGTAGCAGTTGAGTAATTCTACACCTGGCCTCCTGCAGTTTGGAGGACACAGCTAGTGGCTGTTGAAGGCTGCTGTCCAGTTTTCTCAGAACCCAGCCTGGGTCCCAAACATGGTGGGAGACTGGAGGGTGTCCACAGGCTCAAGGGTGCCCCTTCTTTCTGTAGCTGCCCTGGGAGGCGGTGGCAGCAGCAATTTCCGCATCAAAGTTGAGGAATCGGTGGATGGCAAGGTGGTTTCCTCCCACAAGAGAGATGTCTAAGCACCGGGCACAGGAGGCCCGGCCACTGCCAGCCTGGTCCCCATTGGCCAGAGGGGCTGGGAAGCAAACTCGTCCCTGTCTTCAGAGAGCAGCCGGCTGATGCGGGTCCCTGGGTTCCCTGGTTGATGGCTTTCCGTGTTCTCTGCCCTCCCAGTCTCCCCACTGCCTTTGGGGTGCAAGAAGCAGCCGTCTTGGGTCGTGGCTCATGTGTGCCATGCCTGCTCCCACAATAGAGATTTGCTTTTCCTTTTGCAAATGTCCCTTGGTCCTGAGTGTAGTTTTCTTGGTGGGGGTCCTGGGTCCAAACACTGATGTCTCCCCAGAGGGAATTCATTCTTTGGGGTGCGCAGGGCACTGGAGTCTGGGGCAAACCCAGCGCTGCTCGAGTGACCTGCTCTTCTACCTGACCCATGGCGGGTCGGGTCCCTAGGGCCAGCTAGTGCACGCAAGCAGAACACCATGGCTGATAATTAAGGGCCCAGGGAGGGACTGCATCAAGGAGTGGGGCCGGCACCGTGCTGGGCATGTGTGTCCACGTGGGCCCTGGAGCCACACTTGAGGACTGGCCCAGGTGACAGGTGACACTGTTAGGCAGCAGGGGTGCCCGGGCCTCACACTTGTTTGAGCCCAGGAGCAGGGCTGGTTCTGGGCCCCCTAGCCATGCCCTCTGCAGCCCACACGGGGCCTGCCTGGCTCTGCTGTCACCAGTGTGCTGCTTGGACCTCCCCTCCTTTCCTTCCAGGCACAGTGACCACCAGGTGGCCCGCCAGGTCCCATCTCTGCCCCCTGTAGAGCGGAAGCCTCACCTCCTCCCAGAGCACTTAAAGTGCCCGAGGGGAGACGCCGACTCCAGGAAGCCCTCCCTGATTGTCCCAAGCTCCTTACCAACCACCCTCCCGGTCCCAGCGCCTGCACTGGGCCTGTTGGAGCATCGTGTTCACGCACAGGAAGGGCAGGGAGGAGGAAGGGGGCACTGCGAAGGCCTTGGCTGGCCTGGGGACACAGGGAGAGCTGCTTTGGTAGCCCTGCTGGGAAGAGCAGGGGAGGCCTCTGCTTTCCTTGAATGCAGAGAGGAGGCAGCACCGGTTCCTCACGGGGAGATTTGACTGAGAATGAGTCTCCTGGGTTCACTGAGGTCCCCGAACTCGGGCCTCGGCTGGGCATCCACAGGGCATCGTGTCCCTCTCCCAGCAGCCTGTGGCATGAGTGTGGCTGCCGGTGTGAATTACAGAGGCAGAAACTGAGGATTGGAGAGGTTGAATTCACAGCCAGAAATGGGGTCAGGGGTCCCAGATGGGTCTCAGACCCAGATCCCAGTTTTCCTTTGGTGTCAGGGGATTGCTGAAGCCAGATCTCCCTCCCTCCGTGCCTCCCTCCCCTTTCCACCCCTCTATTCCTTCCTCCCTGTGCTGGAGATGGAGCCCAGGGAGACACACACATGTGCACACACACACACACACAGAGGCACACACACACACACGCACCTGCACACGGCAGCGCTGTCCCCTGCCGAGCTGCACCCCAGCCCTGCACCCCTTTCTTAGCAGACCTGCTGATTTGTTCCAGGGCCTCCCACCAGCCTTTGCACCAGAAGCGTCCCCCATGCCTCTAATCTGCCTCCTGGGGGGCGGGGGGCTCCAGCTCTCATCAGCCTCCAGGCCCCCCTGTCCTGGAGTGGCTGGCTCTGTTCCAAGCCCCTGGTGGCCTGGCGGCTGCTCAGTTTGCAAAAATAGCATCTGCAGTGGGGACAGCGAGGCCACACCCACACCCCCCTCTCTGGGGCCCAGACCCTGAGATGGGGTAGGAAGGGGAGCTGCTCCCGTGTCCCCAAAGTGCCCGTTTCTGCCGGGGTCCCAGGAGAGAGAGGTTGCCAGCCTGATCCTGGAGCAAGCTGCTGGCACCCCAGCATGGCTCATGCCCTGCTGAGCCCTTAAAAACCTCTAGGCTGAGCCTGCGCACCTTCTGCACCGCCTGGGTTGAGGCCAGGCTCGGTTTCTGGCCAATCTGGGAAGCCGGCAGCTCAGAGAGAGGGCGTGTCTGTCCCTTGCTCGAGCTGGGCATCCAGAGTGGAGCAGGACAGGCCTGCCATGTCTCCCTGAGGACCTCGGCTGGCCCCACCCCTTCCTGGCTCTCAGTTTTCCCACTTGGCGGGACAGGGTGACTGCCAGGTACTCTGTGAGACCCTCTGTCCGGGTCTGTGACAACGCCAGAGTGGGTGCTGCTGAATCCACACCGGGGGTGCTCAGTCATACGTGAGCTTGCTTCTCCTTGGCTTTGCCCTGCCGAGACTCGGCTCTGAACTCTTCAGAATCCCGGGTGTGTGCACACTTGGCGGCCACCTGCATGGGCAGCACAGGGAGGATTTGTTCAGCATGACAGCTTTTCTCCTGGGCTTTGAGCCGGGGGCGGGGGGGGGGACCCCTGGCTGTCACTCGTGTTTGCCAGTCCTCCCTCTCACCTGCCTGCAGGAGACAGAGGCCCTCAAACCACCGCTCAGACAGTCATTAGGTTCCCCTGTGCCCTGAGCAGAATTTGGAGTTCTATTCAGCAAAGATGCTGTCCTCAGAGGAGCGAGGGTGACACGGGAGGCTTAGGATAGGAATGAACTAGTGTCCTTCGTGTGGTCACTGCGGGCGCCTGCTGGCTTCGGGCTGAAGGGAGCCGAGTTGTGAGTCACTGCAGGGGGGTCCCAAAGGGTTCTGGGACTGTCATCCACCATGCTGAGCTTGTGTTTCCCCTGGGTGACAGGGAGGTCACCAGCCCTCGGGTGCTGTCCCGGTGCCAGGTACTGAGGAGCTCAGCTACCCACCCATTTAATCCCTGTTTTCCAGCTGCAGCCAGGGAGGCTTTGAAAGGTTGCATAACTTAAGGTCGCGGTGGTAGAGGGGGGACTGAAATTCAGGTCCGCCTCACCTGCAGCCTTTGCTGACCTCACTGGGTTTCTGAGGAGCCTGGTGATGACTAAGAGGTTTTAGGGTTGGGGACAGCAGACGTGTAAGGGCTCGAGGCTCTGGGCCGGATTGAAGTGACTTAGGCAGTGTCTCGCAGCGGAGGGGCTGCCCGTAAGGCCCAGGTCAGCTGTGTGGGGAGGGTCTGCTTCCAGAGAGACCCCTGCCCAGTGGGCATCCAGAGTCCTTTTGGGGGTGAGGTCACCCTGAGCGGGGCCCCTTGCAGCCCTGGGAGGGAGGGAGGATGCGGATGGGGCTCCCAGGGTGCCTGGCTCTGATGTGCAGTGCTGAGTGGGTTCCTCCCAAAGCCCTCAACACAGCATTCGGGCTGGCCCTGCAGGAAGCAGCACTGTCCACAGGCCAGGCCTGGGGTGCTGGTGCTGGGGGACCCGAGAGGATGCCCTTGGCTGGGTGGGGCTGGTGCCGTCACTGTCAGATGCAGACCTGGACCCTTGCCTCTGACACAGCTGAGCTGGCAGGTTTGGACGGTGTGTTTGAACTCTGGGCCTCAGTTCCCTCGTCTGATAAAAGGGTATACAGCTGGGGATTTAGCTCAGTGGTTCCGCTGCCTGCCTTGCAAGCGGAAAGACCCGAGTTCGATCTTCGGTACCAAAAAAAAAAAAAGGGTATACAAACATAATAGGGCTGTTTTGAAATAAGATCCTGCATGTAGAGTGTTTAACACAGTGAATGTCAATGAGCGTTTAAATTTTTTATTATCTTTCTGCAAAACCAGACTGCATTTCTTCCTCTCTGCCCACAGTCGAATTGGAGCACTTCTGTGACCTGTCCAGTGGGTTTCTCCCTACATCTGCAATCCTCTGACCCTGGTGGGGAATCCACACATCAGTTCCATCCTGACCCCAGGGCGAGCCCAGCCCTCAGGGGGGCTCCTACCTCCCCTGCCAGTGGCCGGCAGTGAGTTCCCGGCCGGCCGCAGCTCCTGTCCGACGTGGCCGCAATCCCAGGTCCCGATCCCCTTCCAGGGTTCAGCTGTGGGCCGTCTCCATCTCCAGCCCCTCCCCGTTCCTGGAGGATGGGGAGGCATGGGGAGATGGAGGTTATCAGGTGACCAGGAGGCCTTCACTAAGAGCCACCTCCTTAGAACAGTTACAGCCGGGAATTCCAAGGGGCTCAGAACCCTGAGGCCAAAGAGCAAATGTTAGAACAAAAGATGTTCTCAGCACTCTGTGGCTTAGGAAATTACTAAGGATTTGGGGAGCCCTGGGCCAGGAGCCCAGGACGAAGACCCCAAAATAGATGTGTTTTATAGCAAATCAGTATCACCAAATAAAACACTCAGCGGTCAGGCCCAGGCACCAGGAGATGGGGAAGAGGGAGCCAGATGCCAGATGTAAAGTTTTTTGAGACAGTATCTCACTATGTAGCCCAGGCTGGCCGCAAACGCATGGAGATCTTCCTGCCTCAGCCTCCTGAGCGCTGGGATTAGAGGCTTGTACCATCATACCTGGCAGCCAGAGGTGGATTTTTTGATTTCATGGTGTCCTTAGGCAAGCAACTTGCCTTCCTGTGTGACCGTCTCATCTAAAATACGGAGATAAAAACCCTTCCTCTTCTAAAAAATTAAAAATTTTCCTTGTACTTTTGCAGTTCATGTAGTTTACTGTCATCTTGGCCAGTGGCTACATGTACAAGTTGCATGTTTCTTTCTTCTTTTTTAAAATCTCCTTCTGCCAGCCCCCCTCCAGTTCCTCTGTCACATTTTTCATTCCTCTTGACTTTATTTGCCTTAGATCCTGTTATGGGATAAAATGTTTACATTAATTGGGGCTGCTGGGTTCCTGTACGTGGCATGTCTTTATTCTTCTTATTTCCTCTTCCCTCTCCTCACCCCTCACCTTGTTCCCTTGGGCTACTTTCCTACAGCAAGAGACCCATCCCCTTGTCCCTTTCTACCCATCCTTTATCATTTTCTTAGTTTGTACTTTGCCTCACTCAAATGAGAGATACCATAGGTATTGAAGCTTGTGTATCTGGTTTATTTCACTCAACATCATATTTTACAAGTGCATCCATTTGCCTACAAAGGTCTCAAATGTGTCATTCTTTATAGGGAGTGGTATTCCATTATATACAGATGCCACATTTTCTTTATCTATTCATCTGTTGATGGGCACACAGGCTGCTTCCAGGATTTAGCTATTATGAGTTGTGCTGCTATACACATTGGCATGCATGTGTCGCTGTAGTAGGATGGCTTAAGCTCTTTGGGGAAGATACCTAGCAGGGGGATAGGTGGGTCGCATGGAATTTCTAATTTCAGTTCTTTGAGAAACCTCCATACTGATTTCCATCACAGTTGTAGTAGTTTACGTTCCCACCAGCAATGCAGGAGGGTTCCTCTTTCACTACAGCCTGGACAGCATTTGTTACTGCTCAATTTCTTTTTTCTTTTTTTTTTGGTACCAGGGATCGAACTTGGGTCCTTGTGCTTGCAGAGCAGGCGGTAAAACCACTGAGCTAAATCCCCGGCCCACTGCTCGATTTCTTAATGATTGCCATTCTTTCCAGAGTAAGATGGAATCTAGCTTTTTTTTTTTTTGATATCAGGGATCGGATTCGGGACCTTGAGCTTGCAAAGCAGGCGGCAGAACCACTGAGCTAAATCCCTGGCCTGCATTGTTTTAATTTGCATTTCTCTAATGGCCAGAGATGGGATATATATTTTCATATATCTGTTGACCATTTGTATTTCTTCCTCTGTGAAGTGTCTGTTCATTTCTCTTGCCCATTTCTTGACTGGGCCTTTAATTTTAGGTGGTTTAATTTTTTTGAGTTCTTTGCATATTCTAGATACTAATCCTCTGAGGAGTAGCTGACAAAGTTTTTTTCCCATTCTGTAGGCTGTCTCTTCACACTACTGATTGATTCTTTTGCTGCATAGATGCTTTTTAGTCTGATATAATCCCATTCTTGTTGATTCTTGCTGGTATTTCTTGTGTGATTAAAAAACCCCTCCTCTTGTGAGACCAGCAATGTAGGTTCCCTCTCTTTCCAGGTCACCAGTGAGGGGACTGAATTTGGTCTTATTATGCCAAAAAGCAGAGCGGAAAGCTTAAGACAAGCCAGCTCTGACCCCGCTGTCCCCAGTGGGGAGTAGGAATGGGTCCCCCAGGATGGGTCTGTGCCCGGCTCTGTCCCCCCAGGGGTCTCCAGGGTTGAGGAAGGTGTGGCTGCTCCGGAGGGCGAGGCCGGCCTGACCTGGGAAGGAGTGGTCATGGCCACAGAGTTTGTCGCCTGGCTTTGCAGGCTTGGCCGCATTGTTCCTCCCGGAGCAGAGGCGTTGGCCCTAACCTGCTCCTCAGCCCCGGGAACATGGGGCCCTGTCACTCTGGGCCTGGCAGGTCCCATTAATCAGCTCCTTGTCACGTTTGATCCTCCAGAGCTGCTGCTTTGGGCTGAATCACACCTTTTCTGAGGGAGGGCGCGGAGCCATCTGCTCAGGGCAGGAGGCTGGGCAGGGCCGGGTCAGCCAAGGCCTGGCCTCTGCCTTGTTCGGGCACTGCGGTTGCCCTGGCTCTCTCCCCCCACTGGCACCCACCCACTGGGTGGACACAGGCCTGCCTCCCTGCCCAGAACACTAAGCGCTCCAAAGCCCTGATGTGGATCTCGTTCCTGGCCTTGCTGAATCAGCAAAGGGGGCTCCAGGGCAGCCTCGGGAGGACGCCTCACCATCTCTGCCCAGACCAGAGCCTCGAAGACCCTGGGCCCGAATGGGAACCGGGAGCCCAGGCCTCGGTGCTCCTTGCTCAGCCCTGGAAAGTGCTCTTCTGCCCTTCTTTTCCGCCTGCATGGTGGCCTCCTGTGGCAATGTCACTACGCAGTCCCTGAGCGTCCCAGCCATATCCCAGGGTCCCCAGTGGAGACCCTGGCCCAGGTCTTGGGCCACATCTTCCTGTGCGGCCTCTGAGTCGGAGCTCACAGGTGTCATGGGAGGGCCCTGCTCAGGCCCTGGAGGCCTTCCATCCCCGTGGCTGTGTTTCTCCAGCAGTGAGCATCGCAGAGTATTAAACCAAGGCCAGATAGGCCTGGGCCTCTCAGCTCCAGCACCACTGACTCTGGGCCTGAAACCCTGTGTTGTGGGTCTGCCCTGTGTAGGGTCCCTACCCTCTGTGTACCTGGAGCCTCCCCCGGTGGTCACAGTAAAAGTGTCTCCAGACACTGTCACGTGTGGCCCTGCCTGGGAGCTCTGCAGGGGTCTGGGGGCAGAGGCTGGAAGGGCGTTAGGCCCCAGGTACAGGGTGGGTGATGGGGCAGGCACTGCACGCGGAGCTCGGCACATGTGGAAGTGCAGGTTACACACGGCCCGCACAGGCAGACTGCGTCAGGCCGGGTCCGTGTGATTTACACATTTTACTGCACGAAAAACACACTTAAAATGAGGCTTCACATTAAGAGGAACTGATCTGGGGCTCGGTTCTGAGCCCTCCCGTACAGTGTGGGGTGAGAGAGGACTTACCTCACGGGGCTGCCGAGCAGATGAGATGGTGGGTGAAGGTAAGGGTTCTCAGACCTCACAGGGTCACCTCCCCTTCCCGTGCCTCAGTTTCCCCTGCTCTGTTTCAGTCCCCAGGGTCCCCATCACTGTGAATTTTTCTGATTGTCTCGGGGCTGTTTCTTTCTCAGCCTGAACATGTTCAAGGCAGTTGATTCTCTAAGATCAACATTTGTCATCCGAGCGTGACAGAAACCAGGTGCTAGGAGGGCCCCAGGACATTCCAGCCAAGACTGAGAGCTAGAAAGAAGGGTGGCCTGGGTTGCCCTGACCTTCCCAGACACCCTGCCTGCAGACCCCTGTGCTCCGTTCCGTCTCCACACTCACCTGGGGTGGGGTTGGGGCCTGCAGAGAGCGTCTGCGAGAGGGGAGAATTCAACTGTCAAAGGGCAGACTCAGGCAGAGCGCTGCGCCCACTGAATCATCCCTTTTGTTAAGGATTAAAAAAAAGCCACCCCAAAAGACACAACCCACCCCAGAGATCCGAGGTAACTGGCCTCGTGGGAAACGGAGTGTCCCTGGCACCGAGTCAGAAGGTGGAGAGGGGAGGAGAGATGTCCCACCCTGAGCAGGCTGCATAAAAGGTGTCCAGGCCGGGGAAGAGCCACTGTCCTCGGCCTGGCCACGCTCAGCTCAGCTCCTGTCTGCTGCTGCTCTCCATCTCGCTCCCAACATGAGCTGTCGCCTGCAGAGCTCCTCTGCCAGCTACGGAGGTGGCTTCGGGTCTGGCTCCTGCCAGCTGGGAGGAGGGCGCAGCTTCTCCACCTGTTCCTCCCGCTTCGCTTCCGGAGGATCTGCTGGAGGCTATGGGGGAGGCATGAGCTGCGGCTTTGGCGGAGGGGCTGGTAGCAGCTTTGGAGGCGGCTTTGGTGGTTGCTTCGGTGATTTTGGCGGGGGCGATGGCGGCCTCCTCTCTGGGAACGAGAAGGTGACCATGCAGAACCTCAACGACCGCCTGGCCTCCTACCTGGACAAGGTGCGTGCGCTGGAGGCGGCCAACGCCGACCTGGAGGTGAAGATCCGAGACTGGTACCAGAGGCAGAGCCCGGCCAGCCCGGAGCGGGACTACAGCCGCTACTACACCACCATTGGCGAGCTCCAGGTCAAGGTGAGCTCAGGGGACCGGCGTGGCGTGGCTGGAAATGACACTTCTTGTAGGGCAAAGTCCCGAGTCCACTTCTGAGGGTCTTTGCTCCTGAGGGGCTTTCTCATGCCTCAACTTCCCAAATTGCCTTGCTCCCGTTACTCCTGTTCACGGAGTTTATTTCTCAGGTCAACAGTTTTTATGGCTTCCAAGTGATGAATGACTCCATCTCTGTAACCCTAAGCCACTGGGCTCTTTGGGGACATGGCAGCTTGGAAAGCCACCGTGAATGACTCAGATCAACGGGGAAGGGAAGACCTGTTCATGCATGGTTCTGGGGATGATTGTTTATTTTGGAGGGAGCCGCTGAAACTGTTCTTTATTGGTGAAGCTAAGTGGAGGAGAAACAGAGGCTCAGGCAGGGCAGGGCCTGCTGCCTGGGGCGCGGCCTGTCCCTCATTCGGGGACACCAGTTTATCAGAATCCACTACCCTGGCCTGAGCCCCAGCTACATGGGGTGAACTTTCTGGGCTTTGGACAAGTGGATGGGAACCATGGCTGGGTTTTCCCCATGCTCTGCTAGGAGGCGAGCTCCAGCAACATTATTAAAAAATAGGTGACACTGAGTCCCTTCTGATCTTAAGGAGATAGTGGCCTGGGGAGGTGGCAGGCCTGAGGCTGCGGACACCCAGAGATGTCCTCAGTGGTATGGTTCTCCTGGAAGGCACATCTGGGGGCCCCCATCCTGAGACAGGAAACGCTGGAGTGACAGAGCAGAGCTGCCCCACCCTCACCTTACGGAAGAGGAACCAAGCCCAGGGATAGCCACCTTGTCCATGCTCAAGGAAATGGGGGAACAGCCCTGCCTGTGTTCTGCTCCCCAAGCATGGGCATGCTCCAGAGGCCACTTTCCTCTGCATTTTGTAGATCCTGGCAGCCACCACTGACAACAACCGGATCGTCCTGGAGATCGACAATGCCAGGCTGGCTGCAGATGACTTCAGGCTCAAGTGAGTTCACATCTCTCCTCTTCCTTCCTGGTTGTTTCTCCTTCTAATCCGTGCTGTGTGATGTCGGGTACTGGGGTGTTGGGGAGGGAGGTCTTGGAGACAAGCAGAGCCCAGAGTGTGGGGAAGGGATATGTGCAGTAGCTCTTGCTTTTTTTCGACACAATTTTAATATTTTAGGTATGAGAATGAGCTGTCCCTGCGGCAGAGCGTGGAGGCCGACATCAACGGGCTGCGCAGGGTGCTGGACGAGCTGACCCTGTCCAAGACAGACCTGGAGATGCAGATTGAGAGCCTGAACGAGGAGCTGGCCTACCTGAAGAAGAACCACGAGGAGGTGAGGGGACATGGTAGATCACATCGGGCAAGAAGGGACAATCAGAGCCGAAGAGAGATGGGGCGCTTCACAGCCTTCCTCTCCATCCCCGCAGGAGATGAAGGAGTTCAGCAAGCAGGTGGTGGGCCAGGTCAACGTGGAGATGGACGCTACCCCTGGCGTCGACCTGACCCGCGTACTGGCCGAGATGAGGGAGCAGTACGAGGTCATGGCGGAGAAGAACCGCAGGGACGCCGAGGCCTGGTTCCAGAGCAAGGTAAGGGCTGCGGGCGGATGTGGCTCTGGGGCGGGGGGCTTCCAGCTGCACTCCTCGCTCACCTTCTCTCGCTTGGCTTCCAGAGTGCAGAGCTGAACAAGGAGGTGGCCTCCAACACGGAGATGATCCAGAGCAGCAAGACGGAGATCACAGAGCTGCGGCGCACGCTGCAGGGCCTGGAGATTGAGCTGCAGTCGCAGCTGAGCATGGTAGGGCCGCCTGTGCCCGGCAGCCCTGCCTCCAGGACTCCCTCTGGCCCACTGACTCCTCTATGTGACTTGGTCCTTTTTGTCCCTCCAGAAAGCCGGGCTGGAGAGCTCGCTGGCAGAGACCGAGTGCCGCTACGCCCTGCAGCTGCAGCAGATCCAGGGGCTCATCAGCAGCATTGAGGAGCAGCTGGCCCAGCTGCGCAGTGAGATGGAGTCCCAGAACCAGGAGTACAAGATGCTGCTGGACATCAAGACGCGGCTGGAGCAGGAGATCGCCACCTACCGCAGCCTGCTGGAGGGCCAGGACGCCAGGTCGGTCCCTGGAGCCAGACCCAGGTCTTTCCCAGGGGGGCTGCGGGCCGGTGCCTGTCCCCCATCTGTACTGGGAAGTGATTGGCCTGGACGAGGCTCAACTAGGCAAGGCCTTGAGGACGGCGGTGTAGCTCCTCTGCAGAGCATCTGCGGAGACCGGGTGTCCCTGCCGGCTCGGGAGGGTGGGGGCCGAGGGAACCGCAGGGGAGGTCAGAGCTTCTGGAGATGCCCTGAACTGGAGGCCACTAGTGGCTTCTCCCGAGGGCTCTCAGAGGGACTGGGGACAAGACAGCCAGCCAGGCCGGCAGGCGGACAGGCCCTGTCCAAAGCGGGGCTCCAAGCGGTGGGCCCGCCTTGTCTCCCTCTCCTCACCGCTCTCTCTGCCCTTCCAGGTTGACTGTCTCGGCCTCCCCTACAGGTAGGAACAGCTTCCCGAGGCCTCCGGGCTCCTGGAGGGGTGGGGCGGGGCCGGTAGTGGGGGAGGGCGGAGGGGCAGGATGGGCGTGGCCACGGCTCCCCTAGTTTCCTTCACAAATTGACGGTTCCGCCCCCAAGAACCACCAGGCTTTCGGGGAGGAAGTCACCCCGGGGACAGTAAGAGAGTTCCCGCCCACACACCCCCGGGCCCAGGTGGGTCTTCTCCGGCCTGAGAACCCCTCGTCTCCTCTGTCCCCCAGGAAGCGTCAGCTACAGCAGCACCTCCGCCTCTAGCTCCTCGGTTTCCACCTCGGTCTCCGGTTCCGTCTCCGGTTCCGCCTCCGGTTCCGTCTCCGTCTCCGGCTCCGCCTCCCCTCGGCGCGTGTCTGAGGTCCGCCGGTTCTAACTGCCTGGCAGTCGCTGTCTGTGACCGGGGACGGAGAGGCGTCTGGTCTCTGCTCCCCTGCAGCGGCCCGGCCCCCAGCGGCCCGGGTACCCCCTGAGGACCGACACCCCGCCCCTCCCCCGCTGGCCCTCCGCTGCGCCCCGGAGATTCCCCTGCTCCTCTTCCGAAAGGAATAGATAATCAATCCAATAAAGCTTCCCGCCTGCTTGCAAGTGAATTTCGGACTCGGGCTTGCTTTTGGAGGGGCCCCGACGTGGGCCGTGGGGAGCGGGGGGGGGGCGCCGGCTGAGCAGTTGGTGTGGGCGTGGCGGGGAGGGGCGTGGTCTCTCCCGGGTAAGGGTCCCAGCCAGTGTGGACAAGCGGGACTTACAGGGGCAGAGCAGAGGCCGAGAGCAGCGGGGTGCAGTGAGGCCGGGGCCGGGAAACGTGGGGGCAGCACAGGGGGCGCTGGGCGGGAGAGGAGGGCCGCCCTGGGGGTGGACCCCGCCCCAGTCGTATACAGGGCGCCCCCTCCAGGCTGACGGCTCCCGGCGGCCCAGGCCTCCACCCCTGCGTCCTGCAGCCCACCCAAGGTCCTGCTGCTCCGCCCACTTGGGGAACCAGCTAGGACTCACAGGGGCCTCAGCCCATCCAACCCTGACTCCTCTCTGAGTCCCACTGGCCCGGCGCGGCTCACTCCCTGCACACCACGTGGCCCCCAGAACCTGCCCTACTGCTGTCATCCTCTCCTGACTCCCCACCCTCCCCTGGGCCATCCCGACGGCTCCGTGGGTCCAATGACCCGTGTGTTTTGATGGCTCCCAAGCCTGGGTCCCCGGTGGAGCCCCTCTCGGCTTCCTAACAGGGTGCAGGACCCACAAATCCTCCTAAACCCACAAGTCCAGAGACCTTCCTGCCTCATCCTCTCGCTGGACAACCTGCATATACAAGCCAGAGGCAGGCGACATCTTGGCCCCCTCTGTCTCTCTGCTTTGCACGAGTCCTTCCCATGGAGGGCGCCCAGTGGCCGCAATGTCCCCTAGGCCAAACTCGCCAGCACGGTGCCACAGCTCCTCCCTGGCCTCCTGCCTCGGTGCCAGAGCCCTTCCTCCACCCACACTCCCTCGGGTCGAGCACTCCAATCGCCCCAGTAGCAGCCCCTGCCGGCCATGAAGGCCCAGACTCCTCACTGGCTCGGAGCTGGAGGTCTGGTCCTTCCTGCCTCCTGCACCAACCTCCCCAGCGCACCCCAACATCCTGCACCCAGAAGGGCACAAGGCTGCAGTCTGGGGGCCTTGTTCCATGAATGACCTCAGTCTGACCCGACCTTCCCGCTTCTCTTCCTCTCCGTACCCCTCTTTGTTTACCAGGTTCTTACTGAAGGTTCAGGCGGAGGCAGGCGGCCCTCACTGTGTGTACCCCAACACTGGCAGCATGCCCCAAGGGAGGGGGTGACTTCTGCATCTGGGGCCAAGCAGCCCGCTGGAGACAGGGCTCAGCCAGTGCTCTTCAGAGGAACAGAGGGACAGGGACCTGGACCTGCTGCTCAGGGGCCATCTCAGCAGGGTTTTAGGCCCTGGGGGAGGCGGTCTCTAGTGGGTCCAGTAACCCCAGCGAGAGGCAGTGTCTGCTAGCACCAGACCTGGCTCGTATCCTGGTTCTGCTCCGCCTCCCTTTGTGGCCCCCGCACAAAGTAAGTGCTCAGCAAACAGCACCTCTGCTCACCACCTCTCTGCTTCTCTTTTCTAACTGGGTGTCTCTTCAGGCAGGGATAGCTTAGCGCTCACCCACATCCTCATGCCCAGGGTGCCCCGGGCACTGAGTGGACATAGCAAATGAGGAACAAGTAGGCGTGAGCTACAGGAAGTAAAAAGACCAAGCAAGCACCCTGCACCGAGGGCACGGGAAAAGGAGCCCCAGCCCCAGACAGTGAGGCCTGGTTCTCCAAGCCGAGCTGCCCCGTCCTGATCCAGGCCTTACCCCTCCCAGCCAAGACCCTCTGGGTGTGGCCTGCCCACTTCCTGAGCTGGAGCAGGTTCCTCTTGGGGGTGAGAGGGCAGCTGGACCCTCGGTCTGGTGGGCACTTTGGCCTCAGACCCTTCCCCAAACCTGAGAGGGCGCTGAGAAGCCGGGTGGCATCTGAGGTCTCCCCGGGAGAGCAGGGCCGAGAAGGTGGCACCCTGCCTTCTGTCCTGGGAGCTGGGAGAGGCCTTGTGTTCCCTTTGTCACCCCAGGGGTGGCCTTTGAGAGCAGAGTTATCAGACCTGCTGGGCCCACACCGCCCCTGCCTGGTTGTCCCAGCTTCCTTGTGCTGCAGCCCTGAGCAGTTGGCCCCGGGCCATCGCAGCTGAGTCACCTGCGTCAGCAGTGTGGATGCCAGAGTGCCAGGCAGGGGACACCAGGGCGGAGGGGAGGGGACACCATTCCCAGCACCGTGTGCTCTACAGGCTCCTTCTGTGGCTGAATTCGTTTTCACTGCAAGCCCACAGGGCACTGTGTGCCCTTTCCACACCCTGCAGACGGAGGCCCCAATCAGCTGAGGGACTTCCATCTGGTGTGGGAGCTGGGATCCCCGATTCCAAGGTGCTCCAGGGAGAACGAGGCTCAGTCCCACAGCCCAGTGCTCAGGGGACAAAGGAATCACACAGGGGGTCCTGTGGTGCCTGGGGGTCCCATCGCTAGGTCAGGCTCTGCAAGCAGAGCCAGGAGTACAGCAGGTGCTGTGCCTGGTGGCCACAGCTCACAGGCTCCTGGGTTCTCCTCACGGTGAGCAAAGGACGCCTCGAGGTCCCCAAGGCCCTGCCCTGGTTAGGGACCAGCGTCCCGTGGGGCTGCTTGTCCTGCCTGGGCCCTGCAGGGGGCAGACTCACGCCAGAAAGCAGGTCAGTGTCTGGCCACCTGTGGCACCAGCATGGAGGGGCAGGGCCTGATCTGGTCCTGCCTGGGCCCAGGGCCAACAGGAGGCCCTCTCTGTCCCCAGCCTGAGGCCCCATGAGTTCTGTTGTCCCTCTGTTCTGGGTGGCAGCAGAGAGGATCTAAAGACCCAGCACATGAGATGGGGTGCCTGGGGCTTCCTTGGAAGCAGGGCTGTGGAGGAGTGGGCGGGTGCGGTTCCAGCGCCTGGGTCCCCCTGGAGCCCTTCCTCCCTCCCCGCCTGGGACCCGGGTCATCTTGAATTGCTCCTGGGGGCTGTTGGGGGCTGGTGTGGTGCAGGTCGAGGGGGGCACCCCTTTCAGCAGCTCTTGGGGGACCTGGGAGAGCTGGGCATCCCCCCACAGCGTGAAAAGGGACAGGTGGGTGGAGCGCCCGTCAAGGCGGGCACTGGGGAGCTGGCAAGGGTCTGGCTGCCCTCTCCGGCCTGTTTTTATGAGCACTCATCATGAAACCCTGTGGTGTCTTTCATCTGAGCACCCAGAGCTACTTGAAAGCAAACCCATGGGCTGCGGCCCAGCTGTGGATGCGCGATTGTGGGAAGGAAGTCGGGCCCACCACACCCGCACCCTGGGCCCTGCCAGTGCAGGCTGCAGGGTCTGATCACATCAGTGTCAGGGGAGTTCACTTTAGGGTTCCATTAAGTGACACTTGGCTCAAGGGGACGCCTGACGCTGAGGTACCTGTTCCCAGGGGCCTGAGCGCGCATCTCCTGCGAATCACGGGCTCTCGGAGTGCACGGGAGAGGGAGGAGGCTCAGGTCCTCTGGGCCATGAAGTCAGGCCTGGGGAGCCAGGATGGGCTCGGAGGGGGGACCTGGACTCTTGAAGATGCCACCCTCTAGTGCAGCGGGGCAGGAGGAGCTGCCCGCAGCGAGAGGGCAGTAGGCCCTGGCTGGGGACCGCAGAGCATGGCCACCAGAGGACTGAAGAGGTACAGCTTCCCATGGGGACAGAGTGGCTTTCTGGGCATCCACTGTGGCAACAGCTTTTTGGAGAAGACTCAAAGCCCCGGGCCATTGCTAAAGCCTCGCCCAAAAGGGAGAGAAGATGGTTTTGTCATTGAGGAGCGGTGTGATTTCCAGAGCAACTGTGGGCTGGGTTAAGTGGGCATTTCAAGGTCCCCCGTATTCGAGGCCACACCAGGGCCACTGTGCTGCAACACTGAGGCCTACAGGCCTCTCTGAGATCTCGCGTTTCAGGAGCACCCACCCCTCAGGGCCACGGCGGACCCTCATCAACTGTTCCCAGGACCCCTGTGCAGGAGCCTTGTCATTTCCTAGTGCGTGTTCAAGATTGTCCTGGGCCTGGGAGGTCTGCGGACACTGAGGAGGGGGAGGTAGGGCTTTGGGCTGCTGGGGAAGTAAGCAGACAGACACTTGCCAAATCCTGCCCCGAAGGTCCCAGTCACTCTGCCTGAAGCAGCTGGAGCAGGGTGAGACTTCCCTGAGGTGGCCAGGACCAGAGGGAGGATAACCTGGCCCCCAGTGCTGCTACCTGGACCTGGAAAGGCAGACATGGTAGCTGCTGAGAACAGGGTGGAAGAGAAGTGAAAGGCACAGTTTGTCAAGGGAAGCAGGATATATCTGTCCCCAAGGCAGCCAGTCATGGTGACAGGCAATAGTAGGAGGGAGAGAAGCAGCAATACCTTCTCACTGAGGGCTGACAGGCAGCACACAGGATGCCCAGTGAAACCGGCATTGCCCATGGACAACCAATAACATTTTAGTATAAATATGTCCCAAATAGTGCATGTATTTTTATTTGCTGAACCTGGCAACCTTATTTTCATCAGGTTGGTGAATGGCCCTGAGCCTTCAGCATCAGACTGAGACCTTGCCTGAACAGACTCTGGGAATACTGAATGGGTAGTTGGAGATGTCTTAATGGTGAGTCTTCTTGTTCCTGTGGCTTCCTCCAGCTCGGTGGACCTGCCACTGCTTGTAGGTGCAGGAGTCTGACAGGATGGATGTGCTTACTCGACCCAGATACACTGTAACCAGGGAACACTGGTACAGTGTAACTGGGCAACATGGATATATTGTAACCAAGTGACATGGATACATTGTAACTGGGTGGGCCTAGGAACTCCAGGTACTTTGCAGTTTGAACAGATTTTTTGTTACAGGGAAAAAGTACTTGGGGGGGGAAGTAACAGTTGTAGGCACCCCAGTGTCCTGGGTGGGTCTGGGTGGGGTGTGAACAGCTTAGGACGCGGACCAGCATTTCTCAAGTGGGCCTTTGTGGGGGGCTGTGTGTGGTTGTATGACAAAAGCCTAAGAGGCTTTTCAGAGGAAGCCTAAGCCAGCAGGCTGCTCCAAGGGACACAGCCACTGGCCTTCTAGGATGACCGGTGGCCAGTGGTGCCCATTGGCAGGTGGCCTGGCTGCCCATGGGCTGCTGTCTGGGCCGCTCCTTCTGCTGCCTTTGGGGTTCTGTGGGGTTGGTGGCCAGCACATTCTGACCAAAGCCCAGAGAAGCAGGCAAAGGGAGACTTTGCTTGGGAAACTCATTTCCTCCCAGGCCACGCCCTATGCCTGGTTGGGCATCGAAGGGCTGGTACAGAGTAGCAGAAGAAGACTCAGGCTTGGTTTTGGGGCTTCATCCAGACTGAACTCTGGCTTTCCAATGGAAGTGTACTTGAGGGTGGGGACTTCTTTTGAACAAAGTGGAAACACAGACAAGGCAGTTGATCTTGAACTTGATGCTTGCCAGGATGGGCTTGGGCAAAGCCAGGGTCCTCCTGTCTGTACAGCAGTGTGTCTTCTGCTCCCTCCCCCAGGGATGGGATGAAGGTGGGCAGAGGGCACCCTCTGAGGCCTGGGACTGGCACCTGAGTTCAGGAGCCTCGAGACAGTCCTGGCCAAGGAGACCAGCACCCTCTGGGCACAGCCCTTGTTCCCTCTCCAGTGGGTGTCTTTCTCAGATGCCATCCCATTAACCAGGCAGGTGGCTTGTGCCCTGGAATCAGCAGTCAGCTGTGGCTCCGGGAGTCTGGGCTCTCAGCAGTTTCGATCCCTTGAATCCGTGGAATGTATTCCAGTCTGTGAAGCCTCTTTTTGACTTGGTTTTCACAACCCTGAGGCCGCGGCATGAGCTCCCCTCACCGTGGGAAGATAGAGGCTCACCCAGGCCTTTGCTTCTGCCACCCAGCCCGGGCTCCGTAAATTCCTTTTCCTGCAAAGCGAAGTCTCCAGCTAGGCGGCCCAAGATGCCATCAGCCTGGATGTGCTGGGACGTCTGCTCCGCCTCCCCAGTGCTCTCCACGACCCTTCTCAGGAACAGCCTGGGGAGGGGTCTCTGCTGTCACTCTGCCCACGGAGGGCAAAGCCAGGTTCGGGAGGGGGGCCTGCATCCCTGTTCTTGTGCTGTGCCATGAGGAGGCCGAGGGGGACCCTGAGGCCCATGGGTGCCTTGAAAGCAGAGAACTCAGCTGTGACATGTGCCACAGGTCCTGGGGATGGTGAGCGAGTCGCATCCAGGCAGCTGCCAGCCCCTGCTCCTACCGTGTTTGGAATGGAGGGGACCCACTCAGCACCTGGGGCCTTCCTTGTTCAGATGGGGGCTCCGGGCCCAGAGAGGACAGGTGCTGGGAGCTGGAGTAGGGCCAGGCGAGGGGCCCAGGGTCCTGGACCCACAGGCCGGGCACTTTTGATTGAGGGGAGAAAGCGGGGTCTCAGCAGCATCTTATTTCAAGGTGGAACCTATGAATGGGCACCTTGGTTCCCTCAGCCCTGACCACTGGGGTGTTCACCAGGACGGGGCTGCCAGGAGTCGGGGGGCCCTAGTACCGTCCCAGGTGAGAGTGACCGACCCTTGAGTCTTGTCCTCTCTCTCTGTCTCTCTCATGAAAATCAATGAAATTGAAAACCTATAGGCGATAGAGAAAAATCACAAAACCAAAAAGCAGGTTAACTGAAAAGGTGAGCAAAATTGGTGAGAGAGAGAGAGAATCAGAAATGAGTCCTGCAGACATTTGAGGAATAAAAAGAAAATACCATGTATAACATATACTATGACTAACATCGTGCCAATACATTTGACAATTCTGATGAAATAGACAATTTAGAACATTTAACTTAACAAAATTTATGCAAGAAGAAATGTAAACTCTGAATGGTTCTGTAGCAAACCAAAAACATTGAGCTTGTGATCAGAAACCTTCCCGGAAGACAAGCCCCTGTCTGGAAGTCTGGGTCCGCCTGACTCGGTCTAGCACAGGTCCCTGTGGCCTCACTGCCTCCGGTGACCACCCCGGCTGCGGGGCTGGGGGAGGAGGAGGAATTGTGACCCTCAAGTCCCGGCCACACCTGCCTAAGGGACGTGAGCATGCAGCCTTTGGCCAAGACGGGCCAGGCTCTGAGGGAACCGAGAAACTGTCTCCGACCAGTGGGCTCCACCCTCGTTGTGGGGACACACAGTGGGACAGAGAAGTTCAGGTCACAGCCCTGTCTCTGCCTGAGCCCAGAGATTCTCACCTGGGGTTATTTTTTTTTTTTGGTACCAGGGATCCGACTCAGGACCTTGCACTTGCGAGGCAGGTTCGGCACCACTGAGCTACATCTCCGGCCGAACCTGGGGGCATTTTTGCCACCTTTCCTTTTCTTCGGCACACTGGCAATTTCTTTTTTTCAGTTTCTGTATAACACAATTTTATTTTAAAATTTTTATTTTTATTAGTATGTGTTTGCTGTATGCAGTGATTGCATTCACCGTGAAGAGCTAGTGCAGGTCCAGAACACACTGTAGATTTTATGTTCTGCTCTCCCCCCTCCATGTCCTGGTCCCCTTCTCATTTGCAAAAGATCTGTCTCTCTGTTTCCTATCATCTGTCTTGTATTTTGCTCTGTAATTCATTTGTACTTTGCATTTCTCATATGAGAGAAGCCATGCTCCATTTAAGCTTGTGAGTCTGGTTTGTTTGAGTTAACATTATGGTCTCAAGGTGCATCCATTGCCCTACAGGTGACTCAAGCTGATCATTCTTACTTACTTACTTACTTAATTATTTTTGGTACCGGGGATCGAACTCAGGTCCTTGTGCTTGCGCAGCAGGTGGCGAAACCACTGAGCTAAATCCCCGGCCCAAGCTGATCATTCTTATAGCAGAGTAGGGCTCCACTGTGTGCAATATCACCAACTCTAGACAGGTTTGGTTGTGCAACTGGGGCGAGAAGTGGCTCCTGGAGTCAGGTGGTAGAGCCCTGGGTCCTGCCACGCATCTTAGAGCTCATGGGCGGCATCAGGAAGCTCCTGGCCCCTGGGTCTGCCGCACTGGGGGAGAAGCCAGGAAAGTGGGGGAGGGGCAGCTGTGAGGAAGGGGCTCAGCACCCTTGTCCCGTCCCAGGAGGGCTGCCCGGCAGACCCGGGGACAGCGTCACCGGCTGTCCAGGTGCCCACTGCACTGGCCAGGCGTGGTCACCAGAGCCAGTGCTCCTGAGTAATCGGCGAGAGAAGCTTATAAAGTGTTTTTAAGAGGTTGGCAAATTACAGCTTCAGAAGCACGTAAACGCATCTATAACACCAGCCTCGCCCACTGAGTCTGAGAGAGGAGAGAGAGCCAGCTCCCGGGCCCTGGGAAAGCCCACGCTTCGAGGCGGGAGGACGGGGTGTAACTGGGGTCCTTCTCGCTCAGCACCCCCTCCCTCTCCTGCACAACTCTCTTGCAGGATCTGGCTTTGTCCTTTTCTTTCCCTCTCTGTCCGAAGAGCCTGCTGTTGGCCATCTCTGTGACCTGGGCAGGGACCAGGTCAGGGGTTCAGAAAGCCAAGGGCCACAGGGAATTGGCCCCCGGCCTTGCCAGGGTCTGCAGCGGCAGGGGCTCCCGGGAGGCTGAGTTTCTGGGATGCAGGGAGGGGTGGCCGTGGGGTGCCCTCCTCAACATGCTGTGCCCGGTGGGCAAACGGCCCCAGTGCCCACGTGCGACTCTCTGTGCCCCACACGAACTCATCAGAGACACCCCAGGCTGCTCTTCGCTGGCCAGTGCCTCCGCAGTACTGATGGGTGCTGAAGCGCTCTATTTTCTTTTTATTCCTCTAAAGTCCTGTTCCATCCTCCTCATATCCGGGTGGAGCGGGTGGGACAGGGTGATGCTCTCTTCAGGAGGGGGCACAGAAAAGAGGTGGTATGCCTAGTGCCCCAGGGACGACGATCAGCAGTGCCAGGATTCGAACCTCGGGCTCCTGTCCCTGGATTCTGGGTGCCCAGATTTGAGTGCAAAGCAGCAGAACAGACAGGGTTTGGTGCTGATGGCCCTGGTGTCGGCTGAAACTCTGCCTCTCACTCCTTGGGCACCCGGAGCAAGCTTTTGAGCCACCAGGGATGGGCCTCAGTTTCCTCACCGAGGCGGGGACTGTGAGACCCTCGCAGGACGGCGGTGAAACATAAGCAAAGGGACTTCGAGCCTGGCGCACTGCAGGTGCACACAGAGCTCAGTTCCCGCGGCTTCCTTTCCACCTCCGCAGTGGCCCAGGCAAAGATGGCAGGGTGGGGACACGAATGGGGGGAGGGAGGGACAGATGGGGCACCCCAGGGATGGCAGGTGGGAGGGCAGGGACCAAATGTCACCCGCGAGGCCACTCCCGGCCCATGGGATCTGGGCCAGACTCTTTGAAGAGGCAATAAAATTCGTTTCTGAGAGGAAACGACAACAACAGCGGAGAGTCCTGACTTAGCAAACCAAATCCAACATTTTTTTTCCTTTTCACAAGGCGAGGAATTCTGGAAGGGCAGCAAAAATCACACTCTAATGAAATTAGCTTTCCAGAACGGGAAACGGCGTTGCTAAGAGCAGGAGGCGTGCAGCAGGCCACCACCCCACAGAGTGTGTAAAAGTGCTCCCGAGAGGCCGAGGAGCCCAGAGCCCCAGCTCCGCGCTCAGGGACAGACGGACAGACATCCTCTCTAGCGGCGCCATGGCCACTCAGCTCTGCACCTCCACCTTCTCCACTGGCTCGGGCAGGGGCTTCTGCGGCACGGCAGGAAACTTCTCCCGGGTGTCCTCCTTCCGCTCTGGGGGCTCCTGCAGGGTCCCTGGGCTGGCTGGTGCAGTGGGGTCCATCTCCTCCTTCAGGATGGGCCTCTCTGGCCCCAGGAGCTTTTTGCCTGGCTCCTGCCTGTCCGCTGGGGGCCACCCCTCTGGCTTGGTTGGGAGCGGGGTCTGGCTCAGCGAGGGCTCCTTCAACGGCAGTGAGAAGGAGACCATGCAGTTCCTGAACGACCGGCTGGCCAGCTACCTGGAGAAGGTGCGGCAGCTGGAGCGGGAGAACTGCCAGCTGGAGGGCCAGATCCGAGAGTGGTACGATGGGCAGATCCCATACATCTGCCCCGACTACCAGGCCTTCTTCAAGACGCTGGAGGAGCTGCAGCGGAAGGTGTGTGTGTGGCTTCGGGACTCTCCCTTGTCCCTGCCGCCCACCATGCCCCGTCTCCGCTGCAGGGAGGGGAGGACGTGTACCAGCCTCACGGGGGCCGGCACTGAGCGAGACCCTCCCTGCCTCCTTGCTGGAGAGCTGCGTGTTCCTGGGCTCACTCACTGCAGAGGGAGCTTGGGATCTGAGACTCGAGAGCTTCAGCAGGCTGCCCAAGATCACGCAGCCTGGGCGCTGAGGGCAGAGACCCAAGCCCAGGTCTGCCTGTCCTGTTACGCACCACCCTGGAAGCCTCAGATGCCAGGATCGATGACTGCTGGTGTCCTCGTGATGGCCCTCTTGGGGCCGAGGGCCCTCTGCCCTGGGGTCCAGTGTCAGGGCAGGAAACAGGGGCGCAGCTCTGAGAGCTGGGCTGTCCCCTCCCCTTCGCCCTTGGATGGCTGGGCTGTCCCTGGCTCACGGGAAGCCTCCTGTCCCCCAGATCCTGCTGACCAAGTCTGAGAATGCCAGGCTGATCCTGCAGATTGATAATGCCAAGCTGGCTGCAGATGACTTCCGCACCAAGTGAGTGGGGTCGGCTGAGCCCCTGCCTCACCTCTGTGCCTTTGGGAGCTGGTGGGGGGACGACCAGGCAGAGCTGTATGGGGCATGGGCCCTGGGCCCCTCCCAAGGAAGGGAGAGGCCCACCAGACTCCTGACCCCAAAGCCGGCCACAGCTGGCAGTGGGGTCGGGCCCTGCCCGGTGTGGCTGCTCTCGGTGCCGACTGGCAGGGTTGTGTGGTCACAGGTACGAGACAGAGCTGTCCCTGCGGCAGCTGGTGGAGTCGGACATCAACGGCCTGCGCAGGATCCTGGATGAGCTGACCCTGTGCAGGTCCGACCTGGAGGCGCAGGTGGAGTCGCTGAAGGAGGAGCTGCTGTGCCTCAAAAAGAACCACGAGGAGGTGAGGCTGATGCCACCCAGCTGTGCTCAGAGAAGTTAATCACCCTGGCCCACGGTGCCGAGAGCATGAGGAAGGCGAGTTGGACCTCAGGTGGGCTGAGCCCTGCACTGGGCATGCTTTTCACCATCTTATTCCCTCTGGCTCTCCACCCCCGAAGGATGTCAATGCTCTCCGAAGTCAACTTGGGGACCGACTGAACGTGGAGGTGGACGCTGCCCCGCCGGTGGATCTCAACAAGATTCTGGATGACATGAGATGCCAGTATGAGGCACTGGTGGAGAACAACCGCAGGGACGTGGAGGCCTGGTTCAACTCCCAGGTGGGGCTGAGCTTTTGGGGTGAGCTCCCCACGCAGGGGTGGTGCTTGGTCTGACAGTGCCCTGGACCCTCCTGTGCCCCGCAGACTGAGGAGCTGAACCAGCAGGTGGTGTCGAGCTCGGAGCAGCTGCAGTGCTGCCAGGCGGAGATCATCGAGCTGAGACGCACGGTCAACGCCCTGGAGATCGAGCTGCAGGCCCAGCACAGCATGGTGGGTGTCTCTGCATGGTGGCTGCCGCAGCTCCTGGCAGCCTTGGTGACCATCCAGCCCCAGCATGGGGGCTGTTGAGGGGCCAGGTTGCAAGTCACGTGCAGATTCTGGGGTCGTGGGCGTCTGGGTGGGGTCGTGGGCGTCTGGGTGGGGTTCCCTCCCAGCCTAGCTCTTCCTCTCTCCATGGCAGAGGGACTCCCTGGAGTCCACCCTGGCGGAGACCGAGGCCCGCTACGGCTCGCAGCTGGCCCAGATGCAAGGCCTGATCGGCAGTGTGGAGGCACAGCTGGCGGAGATCCGCTGTGACCTGGAGCGGCAGAACCAGGAGTACCAGGTGCTGCTGGATGCCAAGGCCCGGCTGGAGTGCGAGATCAGCACGTACCGGGGCCTGCTGGACAGCGAGGACAGCAGGTGAGTGGCTGGGGGTGCCGGGGGCCACTGGGGCGGCTGGACTCAGCCTTCCAGGCAGACTCTGATGTGCTTGTCCAGAAAATGAAAGGGTTGGAGCCAAAGCTGCTGGAATTCCTTGCGATCCTGGGGTTTCCCCGTGCTCAGGGACTCACGCACCCAGCACCCCGCCAGGTCCTGAGCCACGCAAGCGTGCTGCTTGGGGTTTCCAGCCCCCCCCCCAGCCACACCCTTCCCTTGGGATTTCGCAGGCTGACATGCGCTGAGCTGGCTCTCAGCCCTGCACCCAGGCGTGCGCGCGACCCCCTGAATTTATCCCGCGTGGGTCTCAGCCCAGGGTCTCAATGCCCAGGGCAACCCTGCATGATTTCCTCCCCTCAGGCTTCCCGCCCACCCTTGCTCGGAGCGCAAGCCTTCCGTGAGGGGCCCCCACACCCAGCCAGGGCCCTGTGCACCGGACCCCCAGGTCAGCACCCACATCCGGACCGTCTCGGAGGAGATCAGAGACGGGAAGGTGCTGTCCTCCCGGGAGCACGTGCTGCCCCGCCCGCTGTGACCCCTGCGGCCTCAGCCCCCAGCCAGGAGGACTCCCCGAGGCTCCTGGCTGCTAAACGACCCCACCTTTCTCCCCAGAGGGGCCTTCGCTTAGCTGGGTTTTCTACCAAAATTCTTCTTGTGTTGTTTCTGGTCTTAACTGTGCTTTTTACTCCACGCAACACCGGGTTCCCCTGGATGTGTACCCAATAAAGTGTGTTCTGTTGGCAAAGCAAAGCTGGTTCTCGTGTTCCGTTGACGGGGAGTCCCGTGGGGTTGCCTGAGGTTGTGGGCTTGCTTTCAGAATGTCATCTCTGGCCTGGTGTGCTAAGAAGAGGCAGAATGATTCTAAATACTTAATAGTGGGTACCCGCAGGCCCCAGCCTCTCTGGTTGGGCACTGGCCACAGCCCTCAGCTGGGCCCTGCCTTGGGCGCCCGCCTTTGGGAGCCCTTCCTGCAGCCAGCAGCCGCCTCTCCTTTCTTCCCGCTGTCTCCTCCCTTGCCCAGCTCCTGCATCCCTGCTACCCCACGTGGGGACAGCCTGGAAGGGGGGAACAGTTCCCAGGACCACCAGAGGGCTGAACTCCAGGTGGAGCCACCAAGGCAGGAGGGACGTGGGGCCCAGGGAATTCACATTCCCAACATGCTGGCCTGGAAGTGAAGCACAGTGGGGACTGCGGGGTGCGGGGGTCAGACATGGGGTGCGGGGAGGCAACAGTGCCCAGAGTTCTGCTGACCTCGCCTTGTAGGTCGGGGTTGAGTCGCTCTCCGGCTCCCCCTGACCAGAGAAGTCTGGGGCCCCAGGCTGGCTCTTTTGCCCCCACCGCATTCTCCAGGTGAGAACAGAGGCTCAGAGCGGTTGGTGGCTTGACCCAGGCTACACAGCGGGTAGTGGGGAGGCCGGGCCAGCACCCAGCGATCTAGGTCTGCCTCTGGGCCCTTGCTGGAGGCCAAGCAAGGCCTTGCCACGAGAAAGCCTGGCCCAGATGTGTCACCTCCTGCTGGACCAGCCAGCAGTGTGGCCAAAGGGCCCCAGGGGGAGGCTGGGTGCAGGCAGAACGCGTCCTGCATGGGGCGGGCTCTGCCGCTTGTAGGGTATCTCATGTCCTGGCACTCTACTGGTCTCAGTGGTTCCGCCCAGAAATGGGGCATCTGGGAGGTTCCAATGGGACAGTGTGGCCCCAGATGTGGTGGGTGCTAGTGTTGGTATTAAATGAAAAGTCCCCGAACTCGGGGTGGGAGCAGGAAGCCCCACCGGGTGGCCATGCTCTGCTCTGCATGAGGCAGGATGTTGGAGTCCTGTCCTGGTGGTCCTCCTCCCTGCCCTGCACTCTCTGTCCACCCCTGCCCTGGGCCCTTAGCTGTGGCCCTTGGCTCAGGGAAGCGGGTGCAGGCTGGGTATGTGCAGAACCTCACACCTTGGGGGATCAGCCAGGGCGCAGATGGACTCAGCCTTCCGTCCGTCTGGGACGGCTCACTCTGCCAAAGTGCGTGGGCAGATGGCTGGCGGAATCGTGACTGTCACTTTTCAGGCTCCCTACAGTTTTCAGAGGACGCTCAGGCTCTTACACAAGGGCAGCCCCATGGCTCCAACTTGTATTGAGCACCTGCATCGGTCCTGGGATGCCTTTGGAGTCTTTGACTCCAGTTTCCGGAATGTCAGCAGAGAGAGGGTGTGAAGCATTGCATCCCACAAAATCTCCCCAGAGTGGCCAAGTGACTTGATTTCACAGTGGCTGATCTTTTTAGTCCTCTTTGGAAGTGACATCTTACTCATCCACATATCTCACTCATGAATGGGTCAAAGGGGAGGCAGTGTGCTCTACACTCCACTTGGAGCAAATCCCGGGCTAACTGTTGCCAGGCTCAGCAGGGGAGAGAGCAGCTGGATCCATGGTGACCAACAGGCCCAGTTTCCCCGATCCAGGATTGGGCTGGGCGTGGCAGGAACTGGGGCCAGGAGGCATGGGGCTCTATAGAGGGGGAGCAAGATCAAAGGCTTTAGGGGGCTGGGATTTGATGGAAACTGTCAAAGAAGGGCAGATAAAGGGCAAAGGCTACAGTAGATCATGGCCGAGTGTGTCCATGGGGTATTCTGTGGACAGCCCAGTCCCCATCTGAGCAGAGTGCAAAGATCTGGAAGGAAAGTTATTACGGAACTTGCTAAACGGTGTTCGTGCTTGCTGGTAGGGGATTTGGTTCTTTTAAAAAGAATGCTAAGAAAGAGTAGAATTAGACCAGAACAATCAACAGGGTGCTCTGTAGCTTTAAGAACATTACTTACATGTTTTTAAAATCATGTTATCTAAAAAATCCTATCAAGAAGTTTTAGCCACACCTTTAGCTCTGGTCAGCTGATGGCGTGGTGTCCCGAGGAGAGGTGGCATTTGTCCCCACCACAGATCTGCTTGGTGGGCAGGTTCTGCTCATGGCACAGATGCCTGGTCCCTCCCGGGCTCAGAGCCTCGAGCTGCCAGACAAGGAGGAGGAAGACTGTTTTTCTTTTCTTTTTTTTTTTTTTTTGTTACCAGGGATCGAACTCGGGTCCTTGCGCCTTCGCAGCAGGCAACTAAACCACTGAGCTAAATCTCCGGCCCTAAGACTGTTTTTCTCACCCATCCTTACTCGTTTTTTTTTTCCTTCCCTTCCTTCTCTCCCTTTCTAGTCTCAGAACACTTCTGTTTCTTTGCGTAACACAATTTACCACGAGCAAGCTGTGTGTTCATTGCCACACTCACTGTGAAACACCTAGGAGCCCAGCCCTGTGCTGGGCAGCACAGAGGGTTCAAAAGCAGCCCCAGTCCGTCCCCAGGGCAGCCCCTCCCTGTGTCCTGGGAAGATGGGCAGAAGGGCAAGACAGGCAGAGGATCCAGCTGACCAGTGGACAAAGGACCCCACCAGTCACTGCCATGGTGCTCGGTGTTGGGAGGGCACAGTGGGCTCCAGGGAGGAGGACTGGCTGGGCCTGGGGCCAGAGGCAGTGGGTATGGGCCTGAGCCTGGAGCCGGAAGGCTGGAAGGAGCGCTGGGTGTTCCTGCGGGAGTCTGCACCCTTCTGTCCACATCGGGGCTGCGGTGGGTGTGCAGGGCTGACCTGACAGCACACCTGACCAGGTGCTTATTCTGCCGACTCTACTGTCCGCTAGCTGGGCAACCTTGGCAGGCTCCTTCAACACCACAAGCCTCAGTTTACCCATCTGTGAACTGGGTCCATCAGTGATATGGGTCTCAGGAAGCTGTTGAATTCGAGACTGAGCATTCAGAGTCAAGCACTCCTGGATCCCCTCTGCACAACACAAGTGTGGAGCCCTGCCTAGGATCCCACATGTCCCCTGCACTCACAGGGCGTGAGGCTTCCCTAGCCTTCCTGCTGTCTTATGGCCCCAGGGTGGGGCGTGCAAGTGCTCAGGAGGCCTCAGCTCAGCAGAGCCGGGTGGACGCTGCACCCACAGGGTGGGAGACACAGACACTGCACAGGGTTCAGCCAGGCTTTGGGCTTGGCTGTGTCCTTTGCACGGAGGCAGCCACGGGACCTAGGATTATGCTGGGCCAGTGCTGGCACACCAGGTCCAGGTGTAGGAAGGGCAAGGTGACTCATGAGAGCTCTGTCTCTGCGGGCCCCCAGACCATGCACCTGGCCAGGGGCCAGTGGCCAGTGTTCCCGGAGCCCATCCACACACCTTAGTGACAGCGGCTCAGCACAACAAGACAGCACTGGCGTGGGGACCGGAAGGCACAGCAGCTGGCCCAGGGAGCATGTAGTGGGAGCAGACGCTGCTTGAGATTCTCCAAACTCAGTCCTTGTGGCAACCTTAGGGAGCAGGGCCTCTTATCTTCTTCCCACTTCACAGAGAGGAAACAGAGAGAAGTGAAGTCGGTCAGTCTGTGGCAGGGCTGGGATTGAAACCCACAAATTCAGCTGTCATCCTGGTACTGTGTCTTCCGGGACACCAGTGGGTGTGACGCCCGCCCCCGTCACGCCCTTGCTGTTCTCTGCAGCCTCTGTCAAGTCCAGCAGCCAGGACAGGACTCCAGGCTTGGCCGGGGGCCCTGAGTGAGTGCTCACCATCCCTGCGTCTCGGCCCCTTTGGCTCACAATGGGAATCCTAAGTTCAGGCGAGCAGAGCTGTTCTGGGAATGAAGGGAAAAGGGTGAGAGGTGCTAAGTGCCTGCTTCTCTGCCGGCCCTCAGCACACAGTCGCTGTCCTTACAGGAAGATAGCTGGAGTCACAGGACCCCAAACTGTGGGACCAGAGTCCCACAGGGCTCTCAGAGCCTCCTGCAGGTCCCACTCGCAGGAGGCCCTTGGTAGATGCCTTGGCAAGCTGTCCAGGCCCTGGTCGGCCACCTCCCTCCCTGGCAGAGCTACAACTGGGAAGGGCAGGCTCTGTACCCGTGCTTCAAAGCCCTGTCCCCTCTCCTCAGGATCTAGCCTGCAAACTTCTCCATTGCCCACCCAGGGCTGGGGAAGACATGCCCTGCTAGATACGGGTCTAGGTGTCACCCGGGGAGGTGCCCGATGGATAGGCCTCCAGTCACTCTGGCTGGAGCTAGGGCTCCATCACCACCAGAACGGACCTCCTAGCCAGGGAGGGATCTGTCCACCAACAGCCATGTGTTGGGGTTGACCAGTTGCCTGTTTAGGCCCAGGCTGGAAGGCTCCTTACAGTACATGAAGACCAGCACAGTCCTGGGGAAACTGGGAGGATGGGTCACCCTGGCCAGGTCTCCCGGGCCAGCTGGAGAGCCTTCTATGTCGCTTAGCTCACGAAGGCTGAAAGTCCCCTATCCCCTGCTCTTCCCTCCCAGCCAGCCCATCAAAGGGGATGAAGCTAGAGAAGGCAGGATGGTGGGGACTCGCACGCAGCTTGACGAGGGGGCTGAGGTGCAGCCCTGATGACAGGCCCCTTTGAAGAACTGAGGAGACTCCGTCTTCCCAGGAGCACGGGCAGTGGGAGTGACCCGTCCAACGGGGCTCCCGTTTTATGAGGCGGGAAATGTTCTCGGGAAGCTAACTAATAGGTTAATGAGGGGTTTTGATAGAAAGTGGGATTAACTTTAATGAGGAGAAAACACTTTGTAAGGCCCAACCGACGCCCACTGGGGTGGAGGTATAAATCCCGGCCCAGAGTGCTTCTGTGTCAGGGTGTCTGGTGCCAGACATCTGCTGCTCCGCTCGTGTCCAGCGGCTGTGGCCATGGCTTCCAAATGCCTCAAGGCCAGCTTCTCCACGGGGTCCCTCAAGAGCCCTGGAGGGGCTGCTGGGGGTTCCACCCGCGTGGCCACCGTGTACTCCAGCAGCTCCTGCAAGCTGCCCCATGGGCTCCACAGCTTCTCCGTGTGCCCAGCAGGGCTGGGCAGAAGCAGCTTTGGGGCTGCTGGTTGCCTCCCTGTTCCCTGCCTCCCTGTCGGAGGCTTTGCCACCAGCTACGGCATGGCTGGGGGCTGGTTCGGGGAGGGTGTCCTTACGGGCAGCGAGAAGGAGACCATGCAGTCCCTAAACGACCGGCTGGCCAGCTACCTGGAGAAGGTGCGGCAGCTGGAGCGGGAGAACTCGGAGCTGGAGAGGCGCATCCGTGAGTGGTGTGAGCAGCAGGTGCCCTACATGTGCCCGGACTACCAGTCCTACTTCCGAACCATCGAGGAGCTGCAGAAGAAGGTGAGGGGCAGGGGGGCTTTGGCTGCCTGGGAGCCTGGTGCTGCTGGAGGACACACCAGAACACCAGGGCTCTGGTTGCTCAACTGGCCCCAAGGATAATGAGTAGAGCCAGAGATTCAGTATGCATTCCATGAAGCCAGCTGGCTGTGTGACCTTTGCACTGCTGACTACTTTCTAAGCTTTAATTTCTCAGTTTTTTAAAGGTGCAAATATTGGATTTGATGCATTTAGTGCAGGGCAGTTTTCCCCTAAGTTTCCTTCTTGCCCAGGCCCCAGCCCCTGAAAGTCACAGCAAGGTGTGGAGAGGGACCATTTATAACCGGAGGATTGCTGTCAGCAATGACCTGCCTTGGGCCCCAGGTGGCCTGGAAGGCAGGCAGGAAGGAGCCTCAGTGTACCAGGTCAGGCCTTCTCTCCAGCTCGGGCTACAGGTCATGCATGGCCTCTTTAGGGGGACCTTGGAGGTCCACAGTCTGATCCTGCAGCTGCCTATGAGCCTGCAGGAGTCCAGGGCCTGCAAGCGCCTCCCTCCGGGGGCAGCACCTGCCAGCTCTGGGAGCTCCCAGCAGCAGAAATGTCCTTGTGTGTGCTAAAGCCACTTCTTTATGTCCCCAGACCCTGTGCAGTAAGGCAGAGAACGCCAGGCTGGTGGTGCAGATCGACAATGCCAAGCTGGCTGCAGATGACTTCAGGACCAAGTGAGCGCCCACTCGCCTTGGCTGGGCCTTACGGACCTGGGGTGCCCACACCCAGTGCTGAGGCGCAGAGGACCCACGACAGGCTGGTCTGGGGCGGGGGCTAAGTACAAAAGGAAATGCAGTTGCAGGTTTCCCGTTCTGTGCCTGCAGGTACGAGACTGAGCTGTCCCTGCGGCAGCTGGTGGAGTCGGACATCAATGGCCTGCGCAGGATCCTGGATGACCTGACCCTGTGCAAGTCCGACCTGGAGGCGCAGGTGGAGTCACTGAAGGAGGAGCTGCTCTGCCTCAAGAAGAACCACGAGGAGGTGGGCACGGGGAGTGGGTGAGCATGGGAGGCAGCCACCTGGGAACTTAGGACTGACCTTGGTCTGTGTGCAGGAAGTGAACTCCCTGCGCTGCCAGCTCGGTGACCGGCTCAATGTTGAGGTAGACGCAGCCCCGCCTGTGGACCTGAACCGTGTTCTGGATGAGATGCGGTGCCAGTACGAGACCCTGGTGGAGAACAACCGCCGGGAGGCAGAGGACTGGTTCGACTCCCAGGTAGGAACAGAGCACTGTTGGGGTGCACGGAATGGACGCTGGCGCTGAGCCAGGAAACCTTAGTTTGAGGCGTGCTGTTCAGACCTCAGCGTGCCACCTTGGGCCGGATGCTGTCCTCTACGAAGTGAGGACGCCAGGACTGAATTGGGCTGGGGACGAAACCCTTCTGGACTCCTGATTCTAAATAGCTCTGTGGATCTTTGGGGCTGAGCCTCTGAGGCCCCTGACCAGGTCTTCTGTGTGGTTGCAGACTGAGGAGCTGAACCAGCAGGTGGTGTCGAGCTCGGAGCAGCTGCAGAACTGCCAGGTGGACATCATCGAGCTGAGACGCACGGTCAATGCCCTGGAGATCAAGCTGCAGGCGCAGCACAGCATGGTGAGCCCCGAGGTGCACAGCCCCCAGCTCCACGCTCTGACCATAGGTAGGCGCCAGAGGTTCAGTGCTGGGGCTTCAGGCCTTCTCCGAACCAGGCAGGGGTGAGGGCCGAGCCCAGTCACAAGTGCCCAGTGGGAAAAGAGAAGATGCCCAGACCAACCGACACGTGCCAGCTGGGGCTCCTCTCTTGGGGCAGTGGTCAGCTACTCCAAGGTGCCACAAATAGGAGTTCTCTCCGGGTGCAGCTGGCCACAGAGGCGGGTTTGCAAATGAGACACCTCACAGTGGTTTGTCATGGTTTGAAGTGATTCTGAGTTCCTGTCCTTAGATGCTGAGCCTCTCTCAGAACCAGAGCTCCTCCTTACTCCCTCCTGGTCTAAAGTCCTCCTCCTCCGTGACCCTTGCCCTCTCAGAGAGATGCTCTGGAGTCCACCCTGGTGGAGACCGAGGCCCGCTACGGCTCGCAGCTGTCCCAGATGCAAGGCCTGATCGGCAATGTGGAGGCAAAGCTGGCGGAGATCCGGGCTGACCTGGAGCGGCAGAACCAGGAGTACCAGGTGCTGCTGGACGTGCGGGCGCGGCTGGAGTGCGAGATCAGCACGTACCGGGGCCTGCTGGAGAGCGAGGACTGCAAGTGAGTGTTGCTGCAGGGTCCCTGCGGCCTCCTAAGCTCTGGGGAGATGGCATGGGCCCGGGAGGCCCTCTGATCCTGGTCGGTGTCATCCTTCAACTCCAGCCGGACCCCTTCCTCTCTGCGTCTGTTTCCCCTGTTGACAGAACAAAGGGGCAGGACTAGGTGATCTTTAAGGTGCCTCCCAGTTTGGGTATTCTGGGATCTGCTTGGAGACACTGAGAGCAGCAGCCGGAAATCGCAGTGATCTGGCTCTTTCTCTCTCCTAGGCTCCCCTGCAACCCATGTGGCCCTGACCACGTGCCCTCCAAGTCCTGCCTGCCCTGTCTGCCTCCGGCCTCCTGCAGTCCCGGCACCGTCCGCACCACCTGCAGCCCCCGCCCTGTTTGTGTGCCCTGCCCGGGGGGCCGCTTCTGAGAGCAGCTGACCCGGAAGGCCCAGGCCCCTGTGTCCAGGTTTGGACCTGGCTTCTACTCACCCCGACTCATAGCCCAATCTCCTCTCTCCATCTGTAGCCCAGGTCAGGCCCTGCGAGAGCTCGCTGCAGATCCGCACTGCAGTTTCTCGGAGCCGGGCATGAAGGTGGCTGCCCTGGTGGCCAAGACTCCCCAGCTTTTCAGAGGCGCAGGGTCTCTGCCCTCTGCCGGCTCCTGGGTCAGCTTTGCTTTCTGGGTGTTCCAGGAGACTTTGATATGCAGCACAGGCTCCTGCTGGTGGAACAATAAAGTGCGTTTGCTCTGGGTCACATGGTTCCTGTGTTGGTTTGTGTCCAGGCTGGGGTCAGCGGGTGACTTGGCTGATTAAGTGGACCCTGGAGACGACAAGGTCACTACGTCCCTGATCTGGGTGGGCAGAGGCCGATGGTGACACTGCTTGGTTTCTCCAGGTTTTTGGTGTGGTGACAGGTGGGACCAGTCCTGGTGTGCCTGGCCCCTGGGGCCCCAGAGTAGGACTGGTTCGACTGGGTCAGCACTACGGGAAGCATCTCAGGTCCCATGTTTGGCCCCTGTGAGCACCGTGGTGTAGTGTCTGTTCTCAGGGTACTTTCTGGGGTACATTCATATCACCCCTCTTTCCTTGCAGCCTGATCATGAAGCCCTTCCGGCTTCCTATCACTCACAGGAGACAGTGCGCCTGCCCTTGGGACTTGCACTCAGAACCCAAGGGTTCTTGCCCTTGGGGGACCCTGTATGTTTCTGAGGGACTGGGCACCTGATGAGCATGTGACAGGCAGAGGAGTGGGCTCTGTTTGTGCCCAGATGTCCTCTCCAAACAGACAAGGCCGATTCCCAGTCCTGGTGGAAGGGACAAGGGTGAGCTGAGGCCTGCTCATCGCCACCCGGCCATGTGCACTTCGGTGATGCCAAGGACACTTGCGAGGGGGCCTTGGTGACATCAGAGGCCGTAACAGTGTGAGGTGCAGAATGGAGTCGGAAAGGGGCTGCCCCAGGCAGCCGAGCCCTGCCTCTGCTTCCGCCTTCTCCGACCAGCTTGGCTGGCTTTGCTGGGGCTCAGGCTCCCGACGTGGGGGTGGAAGTCTAGGCCCTCCCCAAACCCCCTACGGGCGCTGACATGTGCAGGCAGTGTGGCGGGCACCAGGGGCAGGGCTGCCCTGCACAGGAGCGCCAGGAAGGAGGCGCACTTGCTGCTGCCGGCCTGTCCCACCCTGGAGGGGCAGAGTCAGGGCCTTGGTGTGGGGAAGGGCTGTCCTCAGTGCTGGCTTAGCGAGCTGCGTCCACCCTCGCCCTTCCCTGCTGGGATGCCTGGGACATGTCCGTTTGGAAAGGGTGTTCTGAACACAGCACACTCAGGCTGAGGTCCCGGGAGCACCCACATCGGTCCGTGCCTCACCCGTCCACCCATGAGATACCTCGGTGAATGCTGAGGGCATCGAGAACACCTGGGGTCTCCCAAGGGGTGGTGACTGTGGAGCCAGACTGGGTTCGAGTCCCAGGCCCCGCTCAGTGGGTACAGGAGTGCCAGCAGGTCACAGTTGTTTTCTGTGTCTCTGATTCCTCCTGAGAAAGGTAGAGACCGTGACACTTCCGGTCCTATAATGTCCCCAGTGCCTAGCTGAGCGTCCCATGGGCATCTGGAAACTGGTCCACGTTCACTCTTTCAGTTGGGTGCCTGGATCGAAGCTACACTTTCCATGTCTGGAATTTCGCTTCTGTGGTTTCCTTCCAGGCAGCAACCATGTGCAAGGCAAAGCAGGCCAGCTAGGGTGGACAGGCAACGAGCTGAGGCAGTATCGAGTCCCAGCTCTGACCGGTCGCAGGGACGTCACGGTTGGCAGGACGTGAAGCCCCCCTGACACACGGCCCCGTGAGGTCAGTTTTGTGTAAATCACACGCTTCCTAATGGCTTTCTGGGTGGCACAAGCCCCTTCCAGACCCATCCCAGCTTCCTTCCAGATGGAAATAAGCAGGCCGAGTGTCACCCTGCCTGTCGAGAACATTTCTCGGACTTGTGCTATGCAATTCTGACCCAGTTTCCATGTGGCCAGGTGTTCTTGGCCTTGCCTGCCCAATGCGAGGACCTGGAGACCTTCAGAAACGGCTCATGCCTGCTCTGGCCACCAGTCGAGCTGCCTCAGGGGGTTGCACTGGGATGTGCGAAGGCTCTCTAGGGTTGCAGGCTCGTTTGTTCGGTGGAGTCAGTTTGGCTGCCTACCTGGGAGCGGAGGGCTCAGGGCGACTGTCACAGGCCTGAGCTTTGGCGCCGTGGACCACGTGTATAGACCTCATTGCACCCGCCTTTTCGCTCTTTTAAGTTCAAACCTTTGAACCGAATTTTAAGTTTCAGTTATATTTTTATTTCCAAAGACAGTTTTTTGTTCTCAGTTTGTTTCTCATTGCCTTTTTTTTTTTTTGGTACCGGGGATTGAACTCAGGACCTTGCGCTTGTGAGGCAGGTGCCGGAACCACTGAGCTAAATCCCCGGCCCTTCAGTTCGTTTCTCTTTGGTAACATGCGATTCTTTTTTTTGGTACTGGGGAGCAAACTCAGGACCTTGTGCTTGCAAGGCAGGCCCAGTGCCACTGAGCTATATTCCCCGGCCTGTAACATGCAATTTTTGTCTCAGGGAAGTGACCAGGGAAGTGACTTCTATACTCATCTCCGAGGTTATTTCGTACATAAATATACATAGATGAATGCACGTGTGTGATTCTGATTTGTACCTGTTTTCCCTAATTCCCCTTCCTACTGTTATGTTCATTTATTTGTTTTGTTTCCATTTTTAATATCGGAAGCTTCTTTCAAAGGTACCGGGATCACGGTTGGAACAGGAAACCAAAGTGAGGGATTCTGTAATTAAATCCTTTCCGTCATCATGAAGACACGGAGGCCCAGAGAATCAAAGCATCTTTCCACCCCAGAGAGGCAAAGTGACTTTCCCAAGGTCAAGGGGCAAGTTAGAAGGCAGCGAGTGTCTCTACTTTGACTTTTCTTAAGCCATGAAAGGGGTGCGTGGTGTTTTTCCTTGCAGGCCAACTGGACTGGATTTCAGCTGGGATTGTACACGTGCTGTCCCCTGGCTGAGCTTGGCCCCGGGCCTCCATCAGGGGCTGATGCACTTTGCTTTTGGCCTCTGGGGCCCCACTGAGAGCCTCCCGTCCACCAGTGCAGGAGGGAAGAGCGGTCGGGTCCGGCCTGCTCCCAGACCATAGGCCCTGGTCCTCCACAGCTCTGGGCTTCCCTGAGTGGATGCCACGCCTGTCCCCTGGAGGTGTGCCTGACACTGACCTGCTTTCTCAGGTGAGTGGCCTCAGCTCTCAGAGTCTCTGTGCTATCCAGTGAAGAGATGACCCGATTCCTAGGTTCTCTTTCTGTGTCTTCGTCTCTAAAAATTTTTATGAGTTCATGTTTGCTGTATACGATGATTGGATTCCTCGTGGGCAGCTGGTGCGAGCACAGAACACATCTTCATTCTTTTTAGGTCCCCCCTCTCCCCCCTCCATCTCTCGGCCCTCTTCCCTTTTGCAAAAGACCTCTCCCTGCTTCCTATCGTCTGTCTTTCATTTTGCTCTTTATTTATACTTTGGGCTTCTCGTGTAAGAGAAACCTCGCACTACCGAGGCTCAGGCGTCTGATTTGTCTCTTGTTCCCCTTGGTGGGAGATGACACCTTGAGCGCCTGGGGGGTGGTTTTCCTGTCCTCCTGGACCGATGCCACTGTCGGTGCTGCACCTCTCTTGTCACCCGTGGACTCCTTGCTCAGGGTCGGGCCTCTTCCCACAGGGACTGTGGTCGTTAAGGGGCAGTGGCCTCTCGGTGGATGGGCTGCCCTCCCCGGGGCAGGGGAGAGGCGGCCCAGTAATGAGGGCCCCGACACGGAGCTGACCTTTTGAAGATGTGTCAGGAAGCTCTCACCCGGTGATCAAGGACAGGAGCCCCGAGTCCTGCTTTAGCCAAATGACAAGCTTGGGCTCTTTTATGAGGAGAGGAACTTCTCATTGGAAACCAAATTACAAATTAATGAACAGCTTCCTCTGGGGCTGAGTGTAAACATCACGGTCCCCCCAGGATGACTTTCTAGTGAGAGTCTGCTGACTCCAAGGGTATAAAACGGGCGAGGCAGGATGGGGCTGCAGACATCCTGGTAGTGGTGGTGGAGGAGAAAGCCTACCCAGCTCTGCATCCAAACCTTTGCCGATCTCTGCTGAGAGCTGCCTTGCTCCAGCGGAAGCTGCTGGCCCGAGCTGTGGGTGGTGTTCCTCTGCTCACCCCCGCCTGCCCACCAGCCAGCTGCCTCCCCCAGAGCCACCTGTCCAGCTCCTGGTCCAGCACCCAGCAGCCTCTCTAGCTCCATGGGCTCCTATACGCGGTGGCCTGAGGTTTCCTACATACAAAATGATCGGGAAACCCTGCAGTTCCTGAACGAGCGCCTGGCCAGCTACCTGGACAGGGTGCGGCTGCTGGAGCGGGAGAATGAGGAGCTGGAGAAGCACCTCCGGGAGGCCAGCCAGCAGCAGCCGCCTATGGGGAAGAGCCCTGATTACCAGCCCTACTTCCGGACCATCGAGGAGCTGCAGCAGAAGGTGCGGACCAGCAGCAGCACATGCTGGGTGGCCCTGGCCTGGCTGGCCTTCCGGATCTGAGCCAATTCCTTGAGCCAGCCCCAGGGCTTGAGGTTCTCTGGTAACCTGAGCACTCCAGAGCTCCTGATGTGGGCAGAGCGCTGGGCCAAGTTGCTGCTCAGCCGCTGACTTCAGGGAGTCCCTTTGATTCTCCAGGCCTCAGTTTCCAAGTGTGCAGATGGGGTAATAATGGTTCTTCTCTAACGGGGTGGTCAAGAGGACCCAGGGAGACAATGCAGGTCAGAGGCTGGGCTGTCCCCTGGTGCTTGACAAGTCTGTCTCAAGCTCTCCAGGGAGAGGTGGCTGTCTGTCTGTCCTGGAGTTCCAGCGAAGAGGGCTGCCTCTGCGACTGTCTTCTCCTCTTTGGGTTCTTTCTCCTTCCTTGTGTCCTGGACTAACTCCCTCCGTGGATCTTGGCCTGCAGGTTCTGTTAACCAAGGCAGACAACACCAGGCTGCTGGTGCACATTGATAACGCCAAGCTGGCTGCCGACGACTTCCGCACCAAGTGAGTCTGGGCAGGGGATGGGAGCCCGAGGGGGGCGTCTCCCCACAGTCTCGGGGGGCTTTCTCAGCTTCACCGAGGAGCAGCACTGGAAGGTGCAGCAGCCCCAGGCCCTCCCTGGGTTCCGTGCGCAGTTCTGGCCCTCGCAGGCTGACTCTGACCTTGTGCAGGTACGAGACAGAGCTGTCCCTGCGGCAGCTGGTGGAGTCGGACATCAACGGCCTGCGCAGGATCCTGGACGAGCTGACCCTGTGCAAGTCCGACCTGGAGGCGCAGGTGGAGTCGCTGAGGGAGGAGCTGCTCTGCCTCAAGAGGAGCCATGAGGAGGTGAGACCGGAAGTGAAGCTGGGGTGGCCCCCGGGGGCCGGGTGGGAGGAAGATGGGGTTTGGGGTTGGAGAGTTGTGGCTGGAGATCCCAGGCCTGCCACTTACTGTTCCTGGGACTTGACCCAGTTCCGGTCACTGCCCTGCGCCCCTCGCGTGCAGCGTAGGGAGAGTGGAGAGAGCCTGTCTGCAGTGGTTTCTTCTTCTCTGCTTTCATCCTTGCTCTGCTTTGTCGCTGTCTTCCAAATGCACAGGGTAGCGCTTTGCTGTCTCTGTCTCCATCCCCTGCAGATGTCCCACAGCCCACCAGGGCTGCGCTGTCTGTTCCTCTTCCCCCGGGTCAACGCTCAGCCTCTCAGCTTGGGATCTGAATGAACACGCGTCTCTGATCTTGGCTGGGTTCCTGGGGCTGAGCACAAAGCAACAGCCCATCAGCCATACTCCCTGGGTGCCCTTGGGTGCATGACTCACCCCACTTCCCCCAGAGAGCTGGGCACCGCACCAGGAGCCGCTAATGAGACAGCCGCATGCACCCGCAGGCGGCCTCGGAGACAACTTTCTCTCATGGGCGCCTACGCCTGGGGAGTGGCCGCTCTCACCAGGGCCTCGAAGCCAGGGCAGTCCCGCGCTGCCAGCCTCCTTCAGATGAACAGGCTGGGTGGCGACAGTGAAGCCGAGGCATGGGTTTCCCGTTTCAGCCATGTGGGCCACACCAAGCCTGCCTCTCTCCTGGCTCCCGCCCCAGTGACAGGCGGTGGGTGTCTCGGGGGGTCTCACTGGAGCTGGGAGACCATCCAGCGCCCCCCGCACCCCGAGATCGTCAGCACCTGTTTTGTCGCCTGTTTCATCTCCCTGGAGGAGAGCTGAGAGTGTGCGATTTTCTCACTTGCCCGGGTCTTGTGGCTTTTCAGGAAGTGGCTGAGCTCCGAAGCCAGCTTGGGGACCACCTGGACATTGAGGTGGCTGCTGCGCCCCCAGCGGACCTGGCCAGCATGCTGGAGGAGATGAGGCGTCAGTACGAGGCCGTGGTGGAGGCCAAGCACAGGGACGTGGAGCAGTGGTTCAGCACACAGGTGGGCGCCTGTCCTCTCCTGGCTCCTCAGGGCCCCCAGAGAGGCTCCCCAGCCATCTCTGTCCTCCCCCGCAGACGGAGGAGCTGAGCCAGCAGGTGGCCACGAGCTCTGTGCAACTTCAGAACTATCAGTCAGACATCATCGACCTGAAGCGAACGGCCAACACACTGGAGATCGAGCTGAAGGCCCAGAGCAGCCTGGTGAGCGTCTCCTCACTCTGGGTCCGAGGCAGTACCGCAGGAACAGGCCTTCAGGGAGGGCGGGAGGCCGGGTCTCACCGCCGTGGACGCTCCCCACTAACGTCCCCGGAGGGAGGGTTGTCCCAAGAGCCAGCTCGGAGACAAAAGGACCAGGGCGCAGATTCTTCTGTGGGTCAGGGGGACGCTCTCAAACGTGTTCTGTAAGCAGGCCGCTTCTCTACATAGTCTGCCCTTCCAAATCTCAGGTCTCAGCATCACCATAGAGACAGAAAAAGTCCTGATACCCAGGTTCTTCTCTGGACAAACAACCAAATTCTCTGCAGACGGGACCTGGGTCTGGGGCTTATGTACAGCCAGGGTTGAGAAGCAGTCTTAAGTGGTGCCCTCGGGGAGCTTCAAATCCAAAGCCCGGAGCCAGATTGAGGTTATAGAAGAGAGATGGGATTTAGAACCAGACCTGGGACTTGAGTTCAAACATATATCAGGTGTCTGACCTTGAGCAAGTCACTCAGTCTTTCCTCAGTTTCCATGGAAACCCAGTGACAAAGAGTGACTTAAGGAAGCTGGGATCATGCCCAAAGCACACACACAGAACCAGGCCATGGACTGTGGAAAGTAGCCGGTCGTCAGGGCTGGGTCTTTCCTTCGTCTTAGGGGGACTCCCTGGAGAACACGCTGACAGAGACCGAGGCCCACTACGGCTCGCAGCTGGCCCAGATGCAGGGCCTGATCGGCAACGTGGAGGCGCAGCTGGCGGAGATCCGGGCTGACCTGGAGCGGCAGAACCAGGAGTACCAGGTGCTGCTGGACGTGCGGGCGCGGCTGGAGTGCGAGATCAACACGTACCGGGGCCTGCTGGACAGCGAGGACTGCAAGTGAGTGGCTGGGGGTGGCTCCATGCGTGTGTGCGAGGGCTCGGGAGGTGACGGGAAGCGACGGATCCACCGTCCGGGGACATCAGCCTGGACCCCTGTCCCGAATGAGAAGCCGTGGGGAAGTGGGCACGCTCTGCAAAGGCCAGGCTGTCACCCTGAATCTGGCCATGGGAGACCGCTCTGGACAAACTCCTTCTGGGTGTGCGGAGCAGCCCTTGTGGAGGGCGGCAGGCACTTGGTCACTATCAAATTTTTCGCATGTGTTGTCGAGACTGGCAGAAAGGCCGCCAGGGCTTGTACTCGGGAGAGGTTTGGGGACTTTGAGATGACAACAGGCAGCTTAACGTGGCTCCGTTTACAGAGAGACACAGAGGTCACGTGGGTGGGAGGAGCCACCACCTTTTACTTTTATTGGCAAGTGAGAGGCCTTGCTGTTTTGTTCAGGTAGGAAAGATCACTTCATTTCCCCACCAAGTGGTAAACACCTAGAATGCAGAGATGATGGAGGGGATTCGGGGACCCTGGTCTTGGCCGGCACACGGTAATGCCCAGGGAGTATTTCTCCTGCGAGGCAGTGAGCACTCACAGCCGTGTTTCAGGACGATCACCCCTGAGGGCAGCGAGGAGAACCGAGTCAGGAAAGTAGGCCGGGGCCCTCGATGCTGTGCCGGGAGCCGGGCAGGACGTGTGGCTGTCCGGGCTCAGGAGACTGCTGGGCTCTGGCCACCGGTGGGCTGTCTGGCTGTAGCAGTTTCCGGTGCTACATTTACCCTTGCTTCTATGCCCTTCTGAATCCTGTTTTTTCAGAGGTGCTGGGGATGGAACCGGGGGCCTCCGGCATGCTGAGCAAGCCCCACCCCGGGCCCATCATCCAGAATCTTATCCTCCTGGGCAGGTGCAGCAAAGTCAGACGTGCACAGGGCCAGGCATTGACTGCGCGCATGCTTACATCATGGGCTGCTGTAGACTCCAGGGAGCTGGCGCCTCATTCGAGGATTTAAAAAAGCCGGCAATGTGGATCTTAAAAAAATGCTAAGTTATCCAGATGAAAACATTTTTTATTTTTGGTGCCAGACAAATGAATCCGTTTCAGGCTGTATAGGGGCCCGGGCTGCCCATTTGGCTTCTAAGTGATTTGATCTTCATCTGCGTTGTTCCTGGGCTTGAGCCCCAGCCTGTCTGCTGTTTCCTTCTGCTGTGGGTATTTCCCACACCGTCTGTTGTTTCCTCTTCTTCAACACATTCTTGCTAAGCGCTGGGCCTGTGTCAGGAGGCAAGGTGGCACGTCCTGGGTGTGGCCTCAGGGCCTGAGGGGAGACAGCCACACCAAACAGTTACCAGCTGCCCTGGGAGAGGGACCTAGGGCCACTGGGGTTCAGAGGTGGGGCATGCTTCCAGGAGGGTGTGGCAGGTGAGCTGGGCGCTTGGGCAAGAGCAGACATGAGGGGAGAGGAAGAAGGGAAGAAGGGAAGAGCCCCGTGGCCTGGGCAGCGTGGTCTTCGGAAGAGTGGCAGAAGGTCAAGTGCTGGGGCTCTGGGGTCAGGACGGTGGGTGAGGTTGGGGCCAGAGCAGGACCCGCAGGTCCTACTGAGGAAGCTCCCAGGCACCGACGGGGCTCCCCCCGCAGGCCTGGCAGGGGAGGAACGTGATTGGCTTGGCGACCAAAGGAGGCCACGCCGGACGCCACGCTGGCAGTGGTGGGGTGGGCAAGGACGGTGGAGGGGTTGGTTAAGCCACGGTGAGGGAGGTCGCAGCGAGGGTACCAGGGGACAAGCTGGCCTGTGGGCCCGCGGGGAGGCGTCTGGGGTAGGGCTGGCGAGATCGGCCGCTGACCTGGAGCCCTCGCTGACCCTGCCCGGGTGATTCTCCCCACAGGCTGCCCTGTAGCCCGTGTCCTGCTCCTTCTGCTCTGCCCAGTGCACCCTGCTCGGTCTGCGTGCCTCACACTGTCCGCGTGCCCTGTGTGCTGGGCCACTTCTGAAGTCCCTGGTGCCTCCTCCTGTGAGGCTTCACCGTCGTGGGGTCTGGCGGCCCCCAGAGGGAAGGGCGCCTGGAAGCGGGACCACCTGCAATGCCGTCTGGCGACGGCTCTGGGCATCCATGCTCCTCGCAGGGTTGTGTTCTTAGATGTCCCGTAAATAAATCCTCTTGCAACAGGCCTGCCAGTTCACCTTTCTCCACTTGTCGCTTGCGCTGGTGCAGCCATAGCCTGGTTCTGCTCAGCTGGGCGTGAGAGCCATGTGCCCAGATCCTTTGTGGGCTGTTACGCCCCTTCTGTCTTCCCTTGAGGGTTGAGAGGCGTTCATGAAAAAGGGCCGTATGCCATCATCCAGTTAAAACCAGAGCCAAGCAATAAAAGAATCAAGAGAAGAGCAGATGATTATGCCAGAAACCTCCGCCAAACTATGGTATAATTGAGAATAATCCTGTCATAAACCCACCGTAGGCTCATTACAGCTGGCACAGTGGTATCATCCATTCATGCGTTCATGCAGCCAGGGACTTTTCTCTGAGTGCGTAGGAGGTGCAGGCTCTGCCTTCGAGGCCGGCTGACCCAGTGCTCGTCCCCCTGAGCCTCATGTAACCCTGGCAACAATCCACCAGCAAGGTGTCATTATTCGGTTCACTTTATAAATGAGGAAACTGAGGCCCAGAGACTTGCCCAAAGTTGTACAGCTAGGAGCTAGCGGGACTGGGGCTCCAGCTGAGGACTTCAAGGGCCAGAGATGCCGTCAGTTCGTATGCAGTCTCACTCCTTGCAAGCTACTGCTAGGTTCAGGGGACGCCCAAAAGTGCAGGAGGTCCCCACATCTGGATGTGCAGAACTAGAAGGAGAGCTAAGAACGTGCACATGAGGCCCCTCCTTCCTCAATAAGGGGCACAGACAATGGTAACATTGATAATGATAATAATAATATACCAGCAACGGCAATCATGACCACTTATTGAGCATTTAGGACACAGTGGACCCTCGAGTTACAACATATGAACAACTTGCGTTATAACCAGAATTTTAGTTTTAACTTATGATCAAAGTCTTGAGTTATGACCTGAATGCCAGTTGCTTGAGCTTCCAGATGGTCTCAGAACAGATTTAACCCTTAAAGAGTTCTGGAAGGAACATGACAACGTCCTTTCCTGTGTGGGGTTAACGGAGAATTCCTGGGCCAGGGTCTCTCTAAGGACTCTGAGAGCTGCCTGTGTACAGGAGAGAGACTTGGAAGGCTGTGTAGAGGAGCCTGAGCCTTCATTGACCAACTTGAGTTACAACCAGCCCTAGGGAACAGATTGAGTTCATAAGTCAAGGGTCCACCGAACCATGTCGAGCATCTTACAAAATTTAACTTGGTTTCTACGACCACCTTGTAAGATTGGCTTTGTGTCCAGTTTAGACCTGGGGAACCGAAGAGTCAAGGGTGGTTAAATCAGCTGTCCAGGATTATGTGCAAGGACAAAGATTTGCACCCAAGTCTAGTCACACAGCAGTGTTATTTTGACCATCGTGCTGCACCACCCAGTTTCTACGCAGAAAGAATAAACACGAACACAGAGTGGGAGAGGTGGCTCGCTCAGGGGCCCCCAAAGGCTTCTTATAGCTGGTGGAGTTTGCCTCGGGCTGTGGAGTTTGAAGAGGACCTAGGGGCACAGGGCAGGTAGTACTGTGTGGGGCCGGCAGGGGACCATTGGGCACATGCGAGAGGCCTCGCTGGCCCTGCTGGCTAGAGTGGCAGGTTCCTATGAGAGAGATTGAGGGGCAGACTCAAATGGGAGGGAGGCATTGGATCGAGGGGGGCCTTGGATCTTCTCCAAAAGGCAGTGGGAGGGCTGAGGCAGGATTTGAGCCCAAGGATGACATGGCCAGAGTGGTATTTTAGAGAGCTTCGCCGAGGAGCGTAGACCGGGCAGCAGAAAGGCAGGAGGAGGATGCTAACAGGGTCTCAGCCAAGACAACAGCAGTGGCCAGGAAGAGTACGGGCTCAGTGTGAGAGACACAGGGAAGGATCAGCCATGATGGGGGACGAGGAGAGAGAGGACCCCGCTTTGAACCACCCCCTCCCGAGTGTAGCTTTTCCTAAATGAGCTGAGATAATGTTTCTATCAAGTATGTGCCCTTTGGGCTGGCCAAGAAGTGATGAAGAGAGGACTAGATCTGAAGCTGCCTGGGGCTCCCAGGACAGGATCCTGCAGGTCCGCCTGGCAGTCAGGGCTGCTGGCCTGACCGTGGAGACACGAATGTTCTGCTATGGCTCCTGGTGGGCGGGTGGGTAAGGTGTCAGAGCCCTGTAGTGCCCAGGGAGGGGGGCCTCAGGGCAATTGTGTACCAAGCAGCAATGGTTTCTGGGCAAAGTGTTTCCACCACGTTCCTTGCTTGATAAACACATTAGACAGGACAGAGCAGATCTTTGGATCCAGAATCCTAGCTCAGTTCTGTCCAATATGGTAGCCACTAACTACATAGAGATAATTAATTTCTAATTAAGTAATATGAGATAAAATGGGGAAAAATCAGTTTCTCAGTTACGCTAGGGCCTTGGAGCTAATGGTGTCAGAGTTAGAACAGGACCAGCATTACAGAAGGTCCCAGAAGATGCAGCTTCCTTAGACCGTTGGCCTAGAAGGTGTCTTCCCAGTGATCTGGCCCAGCCTCTCCCACTTTACAGACGAGGAGTCTGAGACCCGGGGAAAGGAAAGATGTGCTCACAGGCACAGAACAGCAGGTGGGAACTGAAGCCAAGTGTTTGGGCGCCAAACCCTGCAGGTCTCTCCAAGCTCTTTATGTTTTCTCTAAGCACCGAGGTTTATTATGATTTCAGGCTCATAAATATTCCCCTTTCTCCTTCTTCATTTCCCTGACAAGGAGGTGCTGTAAATCTTCCCTGGGAACATAAGCTCCCTTTCAAACACAGCGATCACTCATCTCAGAATCTCTACATCTTGGGCTGTGGCTAAGAGCTGAGCAGAGACAGGGGCTGCAGGCCAGGAATCCAGGCACCGGGCCT